CTTCAGTCGCACTTCAGGTAACTCATCCATGACGGTTCTATTTTTTTTTTATTCGACGTCGAGCGCTCATAACAACGCACGAGCTGACCATGACATACGCTTTGCGTGGCTTATTATGGAATTATTTTTCTACTTTGAACTTTTGCATTGAAAACGTAATGAAAATTTTTATTTTTGTGTAAGAGTCTCCAGAAAATAACTAAGTATTCGAATGGCGCATATTCTAAAAACGAAATACACAAAAGTAAGTTGACCGTATTCAATTCCCAAAGCATTTAATCAGTTGAATAACATGATATATTTTATTTACGCAACTGAAATCAGTCAATTACTCACCGCGTCTTCAACAAATCCATTTGTCATCGCAGCACGCAGTTAAATAGAGCTTCTATAAATCAAACTCGCTAGTCGTACCTTTTTGCCTTCCCATTTTTCCCCCTTTCTCGTCTCGCGGGAAACGAGGCGCAAGCTCGCGTGACTCGCGGCTGGCCGATTACACTTATCGCGAGCGCGCGCCGCGGCAACTGCGCGAAAAATATATAGGTGCTGTGAGAAAATTGAATCATCCCGTAAACGCGCTACTTCCTAGGATTTTCTGTTCGCGAGTGCGAGAGCTCGTCTTAAAAGAAAAGTAATATTCTTGCTTCAGTATAAGCATTATGCTTTGTACTCGATTCACTTGGTATCTGATTGCCAAGCGAGCTTGCCGACAGAATAACGTCGGTTGTATTGGATGCACAGAGCGTAATGACTTTTCAAAGTGCAAATTCATACCGGTAATTTTTTACGGATGAAAAAGTCTTGTAAGCACATTCCTTAAAATGATACGAAGGTTTTTTAACGATCGCGTTTCTAATGATGAATTGACGTGAATATTGATTATTTGCATAGCTGTCGATTATTAAAATAGCAAGTCATTAGTGTCACTTGGATGCTTTTCAATATTTCTCAGTCACTTAGTAGCCTGAAAATATATCGCCTTTAATGTTGCGTACGTAAGGTTAGGCTCGTAAATAAAGTTTTCGAGTGGAGTTTAGCGTTTGAAAAACAAATTTCACATGCAAGCATGCATCGCAGTGTATAATCCGTAAAGGACAAAACTTTCTTGCTTGTCCTAATAACAGAGCTTTAAAAAACATCATACTTTTGTTTTGACAAAGAGGAAGCTACGAAAAATGTCAGAAATGTAATTTCATGTCGTAGTTAATGCACTACATTAAAAATAAATTCATTAGCCTTGTAAGTTTGAATTCATAACGCGAAAAGTAAAATAAATTTTCATTAAAAAATGTTTTCTCCATTAAATGAATTCCTGGAAAAAGAAAAACTGCCGCACTGCAATTTGAAATTCAGCGCAAATTTAACATATTGAACCAACTCAAAATTCTAAGTAAAAGGTAAACTACAAAATAAAGTCTTTCTAAGTACAGTGAACCAGTTAATTCTATGATTATCATATATTTTGAAAATTATATTTCTAGCTTCTTGCATTCTTAAGTTAATATACCATCTCTTTTGTAAATTCGAAGTTGTGTAACTTTCGAAATGAAAACTTGCAAGTAAGTGCACGATATAACGCTTTTGCTGGAGAAAAGTCGTAATTAAATTCGATAACGTTGTAAAGTGCTATGAAACGAACTGATTAGTTAAAAGGCTGCCGAAGAAAAATATTCTCGAAGATGCCGTCCATCTCGAGGGGCTAGTATCGTCTTGAAATTCGATAAAGCAGCTAAACAGCGTTATCCGTGGAAACGAACTTTGCAAACTTGGTCCCCTGCAAAATTTCCCCGCGTTTACCCCTTGACTTTATTGGTTGCTTTCGAAAGTTTTATTGAGCGTAATTTCGTGGATCACTGGCGACTCGTTTCGCGAAGTATCCTCGACATATTTATTAAAAGACATTATTTTATTGTGCCGTTCAAAAACGAAAAAGTACACTTTAGTAGCTGGAGAACTTCACAAGTATTTCGAAGTTGTTAACTTTGAAATAATAATAATAATAATAATGATATTGAAAAGCAATTTCGGAATATTGGAACGTTAAGCCGTTACACGTTATTTTATCCTGAGGGTACGCCATGAAGCTATGGCATTCAGAGATTGCGTGTCCACTGAGAACTGAAAGAAGATATTGAAAAGTCACACTAGCTTGCACTTGAAATGCTCATTTCTGCGCGAAACTTTTCATCTATTTCGCCCTGTCCATTCGAGATGAAGTGTATTTTCATTTTAGCCAACGGCCAACCTTCTTTTTAATGGCACCAATCGACATGGCGGACACTCGAAACAAATAAATATACATATATTCAAATATCGAGTTAGCTTTTGTCTGATATGTAAGATATTTATCGGATATAAAGTAATACAGTAGCTTCAGCAAAAGCTTTAACAAAAATAAATAGAAGAAAAAACGTATTTTTCGTTGGGATCTTAAAAAGCTTTTGACTTTCTACTCAAATATTTTACTATTTGAATGATCTGATAATAAACTTATTTTTTAGAACATTGCGAGGGTTTCTTGTAAATATCTGTACCGATATTAAAAAAGATTACTTTTTTATTCAAGACAAATAAAATTGAAGTAAACAATTATAATGTGAGTTAAATTCAATAATAAAAAGTTCGATAGTTATATTTTAACTTTGACTTTTTTATAATCTCGAACAAATTGAAATTATTTACTTTATTCGAGCTGCAGATATTACAATGTTCATACGCGCAAAGAACATAGCAACAACTGATCTACTTTATTCCGATTCAACTTAACGATTTAAAAAAAAAGTTAAAAATTTTCACATGAACGGCCAAGCAGAAACAAGACGGTTAGTTGCAAGGAAAAAGTTATAAAACAATCATTCAACATTGAAACATGAGCAACTATTCAGAAAAACGAAGTTACGCGTGACTACCTTTTTGCGTTAAAAGAAAAGTTTCGTTTCTCTCAAGGTAGCGTAAGATACTGACTGGCGTTTATCGATGTTGCTGCGATTGGAAAACTTTGGAAACAGCGCAGCAAAAATCGATGACGGAGAAAAAGACAGCGGTCCGTCGAGCCTTCGATCACGTGTACGTCATCTCTGCGCGTTTTTAACGACGCAGACTTGGTTAATATTCATTAAAGCTCACGCAACGCTAGCTTCAATTTTATACCCGGGACGGTACCATGAAGACGAGCAATTATTTCGCTGATCCGTAAAGTCGGCAAAGGAGAGGAAGTGAGAGAGAGAAAATAACGACCCAAAGCCAGACAACGCACCGAATTTAGTTCGATTAACCAAAAAATATAACGAGTGGTAGTTGTTTTAATTGGTGCTCACTCGCTAATGGCCTATTATAATTGGGTAGTCGTTATAGTATATATCCTTAATAAAAGTTTCACCAAACTAAGTTGTTGCGCGCTGTACGCGAAGCAGCTGATGAATAAACTCTGCTTTTGGGCATTGTTATTGCGGCCGAATCCGTTTTCAAGAGATGTCATTACACGCAAATTATTCAATTTTCTTTATTTAACATAATGTCTGCTTATTTGAATGGAAAACATAAAATAGGATTTATTAAAAAAGAGGATACTATTGAATATGTGGACTTTCTATAGAAAATTTGATTGTAGAATCACTGGCTCTTCTACACAAAATATTTCTGCAAGAATAAATAAATTTTGGAAAGAATCTCGTGTTTAACATTCTATTTCGTCCCAATTAATCGTTTGTTAATTCTTTTGTAGAAAGATATAATGTAATATGACATTTAATTTAATTGTCGAGAAAGTAGTATTTTATTTTTCGCGTTGAATAATTCCAATGAAACAACTGGCGTTTGGTCAAATCACGTAAAATCAGTGTCTGTAGGAAACGAGCGTTGCGGTTATTGCGTACGCGCGGAATTTCGGATGAAATTGCGCAATGGAGGAGCGGCACTGACTGCTTAAGAAAATCCGATGAATTTTTGTATTTGTCTTAAGCTGATTATTTTGCGCAAGTGTGGAGTCGTGCGGCATTGGAGAATACGGTTCAATTTCACTGCGCAGAGCCGTTCGGTAACGACCTTCGATAATTTTCCATTGGGAAGAAAGCCGAGCGGCGAGGGCGGCGCGAGCGTGGGATAAGCAAATTTCAAAAGAACTGCGTCGCCTTGAACTCGTGGCATAACGCTTGTGTATAGCACGGCGGAAAGCCAAAGCAATTACCCAAGCATGATTGGGATCAATCGAGACTCCGAAACGCGGCAAAACCTATTAGGTCCGCACAAAAGGAAAAAGAAACAACGAGTAGCCGGAAAGGCGCGAAAGAGCAAGGGCGGCGATCGAGGCGCCGAGCGCGCTACGTTTTAATTAGAAAAGTTGGCGACGAGGCGTGGAAATGGAGGCGAACGCAGAAACGATCTAGCTCTCGATGCATGCGCACCGGCAACGTAACGTCGTTCTTACTTTTTGATTACACAGACGGCCCGCGGTAGCTTCTGACGAGCCGTTAGCTCGCCATTCAAAGACGTTCAATCGCGCGACAAATTGACAACCCATTGAGTCGAACTGATTGCAAGCGCGCCGTGGCCAGAAATTACGCGTCACAACTTGATACGCTTTAATTATTTGCAAGTAGTGTAGCGCGCAGCGCTGCCTGTAATGCAATTATGATTTCCATCAATTAGTTACCAGCTGTACGGGTAGCACTGACCGAACGCTCGTCGCGCGGCTCCACATTATAGGCTTGCACTGAATAATTGCAGCTGCAACGCTTTCAGGATATATTACTCTCTAATGACGGAAACACAGAATCCTTTCACATTGTTGCAGAGCAAATTTATCATTATACATTAAGCTCCGATAGAAAGTAGGGAATTGGGATGGAGAAAAAGAGCTTTATTATTATTATTGAAATAACACAGTGTATTCCCCAACGGAAAGCAGAAAATGCCGAATGATCACGATAAACAAATATCTTTCTATGTCATGCGTCGAATCGACACCCCTCTCACCGTTGGAAATTCAATTTCTGTTCTAGATTGTAACAATATGACGTAGCAGAAACACACGGAAGGAAGTATCAGCAGGAGCGACTTTGGGAAGCAATTTCATCCCGGAGATGTGAGGAGGGGAGCTGCTGGCCGTGCTGTCGTTATTTGCTCGAAGGGACCGCGGCGAGAAAGGGAGAAAAAATATATATTCGCTGAGCGAACTAAAGAAAGAGAGAGAGAGAGAGCGTGAAGTCGCAGATAAGAATGACGAATTAACGGTCGGCCGCGAATGGATGTCGCGCTGTAAAACGGTCAGCCACGTCAGAGGGCGGAGGAGGTGGAGCAGTAACGGCTAAAGGAGAACGGCGATCGGACATTGTTCTCCAGCTGCGCCAACCACCGACGCTCGCGGAAAAGCGGATGTCCACGCCGTATAAGCACTCCAGCAGACGTGGATGGCTCGCGCCACGCCAGAGCTTGGCTGCTGAAAATCGAGATTGCTGCTTTTACAACGGGCTCTCATCGACGCGTCAAGGTAATTCTCGACCAATTAATTATGCTGATCCTATTTCGCTGTTACTGGTCTCTGGCTTTGTATTTCACGCTGTTTTTAAATGCTAACTTGGGCGCATTTCACGTCGGGCAATTCGATATCTCTGACGAATTTTCCGTACGTTCGATTCGGAGCTTGCTGCCAAGGGTGCAAACGTGCATCTCTTTGTAGGGCTTTTAATTTTTACATTTGGCTACGAGAATAATCGTGTGATTGATATCTGTACCCTTTTATTATCGCTAATGAAACATCGCGTAAATTAATCAATGCTGCTGTCTGGTTTCGGTATTGTAAATATGAATAATATATAAAAATATGAAACGAGGCAAGCTTACTGAATTCTTTGCTTTTTTTTTACAAGTAACCAACAGCACGTGTGATTTATCGAGTTTGGAAAATCACATTCATTCGCGCAACAAAATTAAACAATGGGGGTAAAGTCGTTTTATTTTGCCTGCACGATTAATTGTTCTGTCAACACCATTAAAGCACAATTAAAGTAATCGCATCCAACTGAAAGCAATCAACGCGAACAGCACTGGGGCGGCAAAATAAAACCAGCCAGTCTTTTCAGAAGCGCGCGTCTGTATATTTACATTTACAGGCGTGACGTTCGAGGATGGCGGACCACGAGCGTATCAGATTGGTGGTGCTCGGAGGCGCGAGCGTGGGCAAGAGTGCCATTATTCGGCGGCTTCTCGGCCAAGGATTCAGCGACAGATATCGGGCTACAGTCGAGGATCTCTACTCCAGAGAATGTATTCTCGGCACACTCACTATCAAGGTTGATCTGCTCGATACGGCCGGTAAGTAATGATAATAATGTCGTCGGATCAATTCCCAAGATTCGGCTGTTGAGAGGCGGGCATCGACAAAATTCCGAAAAATATAGGCTGCCTGAAAGTTATTCGGTAGTGCGACGTGACGTGTCTCACAGGATTTATACGAAATATATTAAATTCTTTCAAGTCGGTAAAATTTGTGAGCAATTAGCGATTGCTGAATGGGAAATCTTCATCTCGAACTGGAAGATGGACGTTAACGAATAGTTAATGCAGTTCTGCTGGTAAATAATCTCACGGAGATAATGGCTCTCCGTCCCAGAAAGGTTGAAGAAACGCTTGAACTGAAATAATTACATCGCTTGAATGGAAGGTCGCGCGAGAAAGCATTGCGCAATATTCACTCGGCGAAATGTAAATGCTGTTCGGCAACGACCCTTAAGCTTTAAAGAGTAGTAGAGAGATAGAGAGAGAGAGAGTTGGAAAATGTTTGTTGTGTTTTAGGTGACCAGCAATTCCCGGCGATGCGTCGACTGAGTATAGCGACGGCCCACGCCTTTCTACTGGTTTACTCGACCTGCTCGCTGGCGAGCTTCGAGTGCGTCAAGCGATGCTTCGAAGAGGTCAGAGAGCAGAGGGCTGACTTTCAGGTAAGGGCTCGTTCTTCTTCCAACTCTTGCGAGAAAAAAATCATTTTCGCCAAAAGTTGTTCCGAAGATTCGACTTTTGTGTGCGTGTATGTATGTATCACGAGCATTTCGCTATCGACAGACATCGTGATTACCAGTTCTGACCCACATTTTGCTTTCCTATCAGTGTCTATCTATTTTTCAAGTATTGGCATTGTTTTTCGCGAATGTTCACTAAAGCTTGTATCCCTTTGCGCATCAAATAATTAATTTTTATTGCGACTTCATCGAATGCGCTCGTTTGTCTTACAAAAATATTTAGCTTCAAATCATTGGCATTCAAGTAAAATTGACAAACTATGCAAGACAATCTTAATTACTCTGAGAGAAAAAACGATCCTCGCTCCTTGTCGGAAAAAGTAATTCCCAATTATTGAGAAAATAATATTGGAGCCTGTATGTATTTGTTGATGACAGGAGGTGCCGATAGTGATAGCCGGCAACAAGCTTGATCTGTCGTTAGCTCATCGCGAGGTGCCGATCGAAGACGTGAGCGAATGGCTGTATTGCGAATTGCCAAAACTCCGAGCCAAAGTGATCGAGTGCTCGGCCAAAGATGATTACAATATCAAGGAGGTCTTTCGATGCTTCGTCACGCTGTCGAGAATTGTGCCGAAAAATCCGACTGGCGAGACCGACGAGTCGGGGCTGAGGAGACGATGCTCCGCTTACGGCTCGCGAAGGTACACACTTGTTGATTTTTTGTGAGTAAAAATATTCTTTGATTTCTTTCTTGCGTCTTCGCTGTTCTTCTTTTCTTAGATTGGCAAACGAATTTCTGATCATAACAGTACTATAGTCTCTTAAGTAGTCGTGATTGGATTGCTTACCATTCAATTTTTGATTCAAGATTTGATCAAGTTAGTTTGCATTGTTTATATACTGGATTACCAAAATAGCTATTGACTCAAAATCTATCTGTGTAGCTCCTCTAATAACTCCCTTATAATATATATTAACTCAAAGATTCAACAAAGTTAACTGTATTTTCCCTTCTTGTAAACTTTTCCCTAAGTCTCCATTTCGAATGATTGATTTCTCTCCCCGAAAAAGAAAATAACAGCGAGTATCTTTCAATCATCTTGGGATAAAAAAAGTCAATCAATCAATTAACGCACCGACGAAAGAAAAAAAGGAAACAACAAATTCTCGCTTGATCCTGTTACAGTACAAGGCCAGGCAGTCCAAGTCATTCGGGTAGCCCGGGCAGTCCGAAACAAGTTTTGGCAGCACAAGGCTCGAGCGTGGTGGCCGTCGCGGAAGAGGTAAAAAGTAAGCCGCGCAGCAGAAGTCTAATCAGGCGAGCTTCGCGCAAGACCAAACAACAGATACGCGACGCCCACGCCGAGGACTGCAACATCTCGTAAAGACTTTGTCTGATTACGCACTTGGCTACTTTCTTTACTTTTTTACGGCCAAATTACCCGTTCGTTTTATTTTTGACCAAGAGAGGCAATTGCTACTTGTAATATATATGCGGTTATTCGGAAATCGCTTCCACTTAATGATGCCCAATACAACTGTAAAAGTGTGATATTGAACGTATACATCAAACCACTTTCACGGGTTTTTGTGCACCCTGGCAATATAGTCGGTCTTCAACTATCCGATCTATATATTATAGAGTTATTATTACGTTTGAAAAAGCTCGATGCGACAAAAATAATGCATCTGTCTAGTGTTAGAGAATATATAAGCAGCGCGCCAACTCATTAATGTGCATATACGATACTTGACATCATCACTCAGTCCGTCGCGACTCCAATTTATATGCAAAAATCCCAGACAAATGGGACGGACAATATTTTTATAGTCATGGGCATATTTCACATTTTACAGGGTCTTCAGCCATATATAGTCTCGCACGCCGTTTACGTCGAAAAAGCTTATATAACCTTCCGATTTTCTTTTTTTTTTCCCCGGTCGCGCGAGAAAAATAATGCGACGCAAAGAATCTCGCAAGGAAACGCAACGGTTAACAATGTAACGAAAACAGGATAATTAACGGATAGTTGGGGAGGAAAAAAAGCCACAAAAGAAAGCACGCACTCGCAGAATTGGAGGTGCGGGGCAACGGAAATGAAGAGCGATCGCGAAAATTGAAGAGGAAAAGGCCGCGTTCCGTTCATTTTTCACCTCGCGGGCTTGTCTTTTTCTTCCTCTCTCCTCGGCACGGCCTCCATTCGTCGATCTCCCTTTTTCTTTTTCGAATTTCGCCCCTGCCATCTCGCCCTCCGCTAGCCCAGCGATTACCAAGTTGCCAATGTTAATTTGCAGTTACTGCAAAACACACTTCGCGCAGGCTTTCAGTTGCCAATTTTAACTTTTGCTAACATCAAGTTGATCTTCATTAGCGAAAATGAAATAATACAAAGACTATGGGATTTAATGTTATTCGAATGTCACGGTTCTCATTGTTGACTGTTAGCTCGTGTAGTTAAAAATTCCGTGCGCTCCGTTCGTACGGAAAATTAGTCCTAATTTCAAAGTGTTAGGAACTACATTACGTTTGCAAATGTTCGTCGAATATCATGAAAGACAAACGAAAGCCCAATAATTCAGTACGCGTTGAACGCTAAATGTTTGTGAAATCGATGATATCTCTTGATTTCAAATTAATTAGATGAGGATATGCAAGACAAATTATTTCACGTATTGATCTCAATTGGTTGGCTCTGTATTGGTAGCATGGCGACGGAAGCCTTAAAATACCATTGCTAATGAGATCCAAACAGGATGCTGGGATAGCGATAGAGCGGAGCTAATTAATGATATATCTCAATTTGCTAGAGCGACGATCATCACCCAACGAGCGTATTCGGCCATTATCAAGACAAGATGTCATTTCGAGCGTCGGCAGGGCTCTCGCGATCGTATAAACTCATTGCGCACAGCTCGTATGAGCTTAGCGCGAAAAGACCGTCCCCGCACTCTCGGCGTTCCGTCGGATATCGTTTTATCGACCGACCTTGACTTGCCGGTTCCAACTTGTGTTTGCCAACGGAATCCGCCGAAGCGGCGTTATTACGCTACACGCCAGTGCATGGTGCAACCTCGCTTTGCTCCGGCATTCAATTTCGTCAACGGCTTTCTTTTGCCAATGGCGATTATCGCGGCTGTGACGCTAACCGGATGATATGCTAATTATGGGAAAGCAACATAAAACATTTTTAATGTTCTTGAAACATTTTGATCAATAACAAAGTAAGTCCGCGGAGAAAGTTGATTAAGCATAAAACTATCGGATGAAGCACTATAAATATGCATGAATATCTTACATAGCAGCTCGAATGCTATAAATAGTGTTTTCTCATTAACGGTAAACTGTCTGAGCATCCCACATTTATAAATGGGTTCTCGTTATACTTTGCGCGTCACTGCGGCAGCACCAACGTACCCCGCATCAATATTGACTATTTGCGTACACTTTAGTCGTACAAATATGACTAACGCTGTTGGTAACAAACTTTAAAAACTTTTAAAACATTCTATAGGGATAGAAATCGTGGCACGCAAGTTAAACGGATAATCTTATTCACTGCTATATTCACGTATATGAGTACAAGAGCCGTCCCACATCTTTACAAGTACATAAAATATCATTGTTGAAATGTAAACAATGACGGTCTTAGACGTGTAATAGATGTTAATTTATTTGATAAAAAATTATTGTATATTACGTAGAAGTCATAATGATGGTGAAACCTTTGACGACGATACCGACTATTTCAACCAGTGTGCACACAAATCGCATTGAAACCTATATAAATTTGTAGCTGTTGAAAATATTTTAAAGTTTATTGTACGTGTATGTATGAAGAGAATATTCCGTAAAAATTATATATCCACTAGAGTGAAAGCTGGAGTGGAGCGTATGGAAAGTGTTAGTTGTTTTGTAATGCAGCAGCGTAGAGCTGATATGTCAGTCAAATGCACATCGATTTGAAAGTGTAGAATTTCTAGATATATTAGGTGTATAACGACAACTTCTTACAATTATATTGAATGAAAAGTTCAATGTTCAGTTGGTTGTCGATTCGTAAATGCATAATTATCATCGATCAAACAATAATATCCTCATTTTTCTAGAAAGTAAACAGAAAAATAGGCGAAAAAATATTTTGTTGTATCTATATAATTTTCGTTGAAAAAATTAAACTGATATATCGTATGAATAAATTAATTTTCTCGATTTTTAAGTATCGAGTACGTATCAAATGTATACCACAAACCAAAAATATGATTATTAGATAACAATATACACACATGCGATGAAAACTATAAAAAAAATTGTTTTTTTGAAGTCTAAAATTGGAAACATTTAATTTCTTCGCTACAGTTTCTGGCCTTTTCTCTCTCTCTCTCTCTCTCTCTCTCTCTCTCTCTCTCTCTCTCCCTCTTTATTTAAGTTATACAGTGACGGAAATGCTCCCAAACATTAGAAAAGTCTCTAAGAACAATTTTATTCAACATCGTTAAATCACTGGCCATCCGCTGAAAATCATTAAAACTAAAGTCAAGTATTTTAGAAATCTCAAAATAGCTAAGTTTCCGGATACGCATGTATAGCACATGCGAAAATACTTGACTTCAATTAAAGATATCTCGATGAGAAAAAAAGATATCTCAAACATTAAAAATTAATTTTGAAAAATAACGATAAACCTTTCAAATGGTTCGTCCCGTTTTTAGAAAAAAAAATTTTTTGGTAATGCTACGTGACCTCAAATATAGCAAAAATGACTATTTTCGCCTCTTTAAGTTAGGATATCTAAAAAACCTAACGTGATGGACAAAATCTAACTTTGAATTCGAATTTTACGCAAAAAATTTTTTCGGAAATGATCTTTAACTGGCCAAGAACAAAATCATGAAGATCTGTGTTTTTTTTTTATAAAGTATCAAATTTAATCTCTTAATTTTTTTATCCACATTTCTTCTAAAACATACTAAAAATAGATATCAGCTCTAGGTTGTGAATAAAAGTAAGTAATCCTTAATTTTAGTGTTTTTTATTTCATGTACAGTGATACTAAAATGACGAAAAAAATGGTTTCTCTAAATGTTCTAATAGGGATATTTTCCGCCACTATACATCTTAAATAAGGAGAAAAGGAGGCCGGAAATTAATCCTTGAGAATATAATTTTTCGATACTCCGTGCGCAAAGTGCGTCTTTCCCGCACGCTCGGCAGAAAACGTGCGTTGAAAATCGCACTTTCCACACGTCGTATCAAAAACTACGGTACGGCACATGTTCGGGACTCGCACTCGCTTCGCTCGGGCGTAAACGCCACACGAGACAAGAATCTACTTTCCCGCACTTGTATCGTAATGTACTATTTTTCAATTCTAGACTCCAAAAAAGCGTATTTCTTTCATAGATTTCATGATATATTATTATATAAATAACGGTAAGTCCTGTAAAGTGAATTTCTCATACCAGGGAGACTTGGAGTTTCTATGTATTTTTATTATAAGTTGTAATAAGATTATATAAACGTTATATAGAACTGTAAAAAATGATACTGTTTTGATATTTGAATAACTGTGTGAGCTTAATATCAATTCAACTTGGGGAACTTATTCATGTGTGGACGTGAAATTTAAAAGTCGACTTATATGGATACCTTTCTTCAAGAAGTTTTATTGTGGAAATGGAAACAAAAAAAGAATTTCCAAAGTAGTGTATCAAAAAATAAATAAAATTTAAAAATAGTTTTGTTATATTGTAATATTATATAATAATACATAAATATTGTGCTTCTTCATACCTTATAAAGTATGTCTAAGTCATATCTTAATTAAAAATTTGTACTCGTATTGTTATTATAGTAATATTTTAAGATATTGTGACATTTTATATAAAAGTACAGTAAATTTATTTTATAAAGTTTTCGGAGCGGTACCACGAATATTTCACACGAAAAATCAAAAAGATGCTAGTCTTTAGTTAATTAAACAGTTTTCATACTAACGAATCTTCTGTATTTTAAAGTAAGATATATCCGGTGACTCTTCAATAGATAAATTGGTGACACTGATCCAAACGTTACAAACGTACCTAATCAAATATTACTACCAATAAATATATAAACTGGAAAAATAATTTTTCGTATAACAATAGGCAACACTCTTTCAGCAAATTTTTCTACGCGTGAGGACCACTAGCTACATACTGAACGAATAAACCTAACTATTGTTATTTATTAACTATTGTATTTATTAAAGTACCTTTAATATTCCAATCCTTTCAAAATATAGTAGGCTAATAACATATAATGAAAAGATTTAAGTGAATACTGCATACAATAAAATTGGCTGATCTACCTAATTTGAATTGACTTAAACAAAAGAAACTAACTCTTCAATAAGAATATTAAGTCTATAGCTGTCTGTATCTACAAGAGAAAATTATATGCAATTGATTGTGTGAAAAACCAAAACGAAAAACTATTTGTAATTGTAGTACATGTTAAATTATTTTCCGAATGTGAGAATCGACAAATATTTTAAAATAATAATACCTAGTACTTATATCTACCATTTGTTGTAACATAGATTTCATTATTGCAAAAGTTAAAAACTGAAAAAAACATAAATAGTGTTTTACTGTCTTTCTCTTTTCCTTCGACTTTCGTAAGCGAGCACTATAAGCTTTCTATAAGATTTTTGCACGAGTAGATCCCTTTCCAAATTTGGATTGGAATCGAAAAACATTGCTGATTGAAATATGGTACGACAAAGATGATTTCTTGAATGACAATTTAATTGGATTGACATGATTGTTTTTGCTCGAAATATATTTTGTATTTCATAATTCATTCAAACCAAAAGAAATATTTTTTGCCTTGTTTTCGTATGAAGCTAAAATTCATTTACGAAGGTATCTAAATTTCACTAACCGTTTTTAACAAAAAAAAAACTTTCCATTGCAAGGCGTATCGCCGTAAAAAATAATATATGTTTGTGGAAACTGGTTCAAAACTACTCAAAGATTTAGTTTTCCATTAAATTAATAAATTATCGAATATGTATATCGATATTTTAAAGAATACAGTATAACAAGGCTTACAAGATAATGTTGTACAATAGGTAAACAAAGATTTTTGTACAATGAGCTGCAGCAATGATAAGAAATAGTTAAGTATTGAGCCGCTATCGGACCCTTGTTAATTTCCTGTCTATTGTGGTAGTGAGAGAATCTTGCCCCTCACGTCGAAACCGTCGCGCAAGCCCCGAGCAACTCGGGCGCACATACCTATATTCCAAGCTGTATTATACATTGTTTGTCGAAACAATAAAATGAAAGACGAAAAGTGATTTAAATACATCAATAAAGACATTTTAAATAAGAAACTTGCTACTGACATCTTTTCATTACCTTACCATCAATGTCTTAATTAATTGATATTTTCAAAGCCTATTTCACTGTCAATGTTAGAATCGATTAACACATTGAATATCTGATGCTTTAATAACTATCTAAATATAGTTTCATTATTATAACTTTTGCTATGTATGTCGTTTTCTTTCTATTCAAAATTCTGATCAACGTTGTTATGTATTATCTAAAGTAAATGAAATATCAATCAAAACAAATTATAAATTTATTTTCTTTTAATATAAATTCAGATAGATTTCACTGCAAAATGATCTTTTTTTCATATTATTGCCAATAACTATATTGAAAAAAATTGATCGCTTTCTGTAATTCCTAATCAGGTTTGGTAATATCAATTTAATCTCATTGTATTTCAATTTTCACACAAGATTTACCATATCTTCGTATTTGTATGTATGTCACGTTCAAATGAAAAAAAAACAGCTTTGAAAGCTCATTTTTTGCTCGTTCATTACGATAATCATTTGAGCATTCACACATATCGGTATTCATCCGATCACCTTTACACTTCAGTACTAATTTACAAATCTTATTAACGAAAGCCTTTACAACAGCCAGCAGAAGACACGGAAATGCGCCGTGCATTTGGTATTTCCAAATGTTGCTTCATCGAGTTTTAATTTTAATGAGATATTTTTTCCGCTTCAAGCATCAATAGAAATCATTTCAGGATGTTGGATTTTCGGCTTATAGATTTTTATTTAAAAAAAAGAAAATTAGGGTCACTTATTAACTCTCATCTTATCCTTGACCAGGAAATATTTTTATTAATTCTCGAATAGATAGAAAATATTCAATTAACTTGCAATGTTAATTAATATTAAGAGACTATGTTGCCATTTTTGACATAAACGAATGGCCTATAACAATACACGTAAACAGAAAAGCAGTGTTATTGAAAAATAACTTAATAATATTTAACGTTAAATAATCATAAATATATAATTGATTACAAACTCTGTTTATGCATCTGTACAAAAATCATTCTTATAATAAAACCTTAACTACGTAGAAGTACTAGATATAATTGAATAAGTCGACATCGTATCAGAATTACAGCCATTATCAGTCGTTTGGAAGAGTGTTTTAAAATGCTGTACGTAAGTAGAACACCTCTCGCTTTTAGCAAATCCAGTGGTGTTGTGAAGCCTCACATTCCTCTGCTCAAAAAACTTATAAACGGAATAAAAGAGGGTAGGATCGTCAGCTGCTTTAGCAGCTTCTAAGAATTTACGAGCGCATACTTGGTCAGCTTTACCAACGCTTCTGATGTAGCGTAAAGCTGGTAAAATGTGTCCCTTTGATAAGAGTACTTCAATAATTTCCTCGTGCGCGTTACCCAAACGTTTCAACATGTCAAGAGCCAATTGATGGGCTGCTGGATAAAGATTCTCCAAGGAAAGCAGAAGACAAGCCAATGGTTTCGAGTCGGAAACTACGTGATACTGAAGCAGCTGATGAAGCTGATAATAAGCTTGCTTGTTTACCAATGTCGTGATGATAAGCTCATGAAGGTAGTGTTGTACTGGAATACCCTGCTCCGATACCGACCTATGTTTATGTATAATTGCAATGGTAGTTTTTAAATTGCCTATAAACATTATTAAAGTATTATTTTCTATTTAAAAATAAATTACCTAATGTATTCTAATAGTACCCAAATAATCATTTGAGTGTCAATAGTATCCTCAGGAAATTTGGAAAGAATATGGCCATACATGTCGCTCTGATCTAGGAATATTTTATATTTGGAGTTTTCATACGAAGAGTTAATATTTTTCACATTGCTCTGTATTGGAGTACCGATCACGCTTTGAATTTCATTTTCCAAATGGTTTCTATAAACTACGTTTATTTTATCAAAAATAGCAGGCATATCTATCAGTGTAGTAGGCATTTGCGTGACAAGATCTTTTATAACTTGAATCAATAGTTGTTTTGAATTTTTCCGCTGCATTAAAAATTCAACAAGCCGAACTTTATCAGTGATGAGATTTACTAATGAATCTAATTTCAATTCCATGTACCTAATTAATATAATTATAAAATGTATTTAGTAACTTATTATAATTGTATCAATTTATCAAGATAACTTACCACAAACAACCTAATTTTGCATCAATGATAATATTTGGTTGAAATACAACCCAATTTGGCGAATCTGTTTATTCGCTAAGAAAAACTTTTTACTTGAAAATGATTGTAAAATAAAATAAAAATAAAGTATTACTTTGATAAGGATACACAACTGACAAGGTTGATTAACATACTCAGGAATATTTGGACCAGGAACTTTCAAACTGCAGGGCTTGATAGATTTAGATGGGACAATGCCAGTGTGATGAATAACAGTTCCATCACTAACACCAGGCAACATAATGTCAAAAACCATTGACGTCTGTAATTATAATTCGTTAATTTACACCTGTTAAAATATATACGAAAAAAATTTTTTTTACCTGGGAAGCTTGATGGTGAACAATTATAAGATTATCCACAACATTAATAGCAAATCTACCACTCATGTCAAGCTTTAATATGTGGCTTTTTTTAATAGTCACCATTCTAAAATAAGTTAATAAAAAGTTTCTGAAGTATTATTTAAATTAGATTATTTAAATTAAATTATTATAAGATATTTCCTACGAAAATTATCTATATATACTTGCAATTTTTAGAATACGTGCATTTAATAAACTACTTGATATAAAGTTCAATCTTACTTGTGAACTGTATATACGTAGACAAATGCAGATCCCATAGAACGACAATTGTCACTAGGTTGATGTCGAAGAACTATTATACAAGGAATTCCATATAAAACTGCAAGAGCTACATCTCTTTCTGAAACAGCAAGTTTTCCTGGTTTTGTCGATAGTGCCTCCACTGAAAATAACGATTTTCATCAAGTAAATGGTATACATTTTTTGTCAATATTTCAAATTTTACTTACTTTCAAACTTAGTTATTTTGTGGAGATTTCCATGAGTGATATACAATACTTGCATTTGAGTTCCCAAAGTTCCTGAAGAAAGTAGCACCAACTGACTTTGTGGACAGAAAATAAACCAATTTATAGGCAAACTCAAAGACTTCAAAGATTTCACATATCGTTTTTCTGGAATAACCTAGATAATATATATATATATATATATATATATATATATATATATATATATATATATCATTAACTTTAAGAAACAAATAAATTTTTATATTGAAATCTATTTGGAATAAACTTACTTGAAGTAGTTCAACACCATGGTCTGTTACAAATAAAATCTCATTACCACATGTCCACACAAAACCAAGAATAGTGGCATTTTTTCCTTTACACGGCTGGGAATATTCAATTCCTTCTAAAGATGTAGTAGGATTATAATTTATGAATTCCACAGAAGTTACACTTCGTTGAATGGCTAGTATGTTCATGTTTGGAGAAAATTTGATAGATATGACTGGACCTTTGTCATCCATTCGAAAGTTGATATTATGTTCAGGCCCTTTAACAAGTACACCAGTGACGCCACCAGATCTAATAGCAAAAACCTGAAAGCAATATAAATAAACAATTATCATCAATGATACATATAATAATTAAATCTTTCAAATATTCTTCCACTGGGTACCTGCTGTTTTGAGTCATCAAAAAAGACATCCGTAACATCATTTACAGGTTCAAATTTCACAGGCTCAGATGACAGTTCTAAATAGTAATTATCCTTGCCCTCTGTCTCAGTAGAATTTTCTTTATTATCACTTGATGTTGCCATTTTAATTCCTGCTGCCTGATATTTCAATGAAGTTTAAGATTCTGTTGCATAAGAGAACAATACAAAAAATAGGATAATAATAAACTAAGTAATGTTTCAGTAAAGGTTATGTTTGCAATAAACTATGAGGTTAACTTTTATCTATATCTTTATTAAAATATAAATTGAAAAAATCATTATAGACATTCTGAAGAAAAACTTATCATTTTAGATTTCTTGTTAAGGTATTAATGAACTTTCAACAGAAAATAACATTCTATCCAGCCAAAAACTTGTTTTCCTCACATTGTTTGAAATAATTACACTACTTTTTTGCAAATAATGTAAGATAAAAATTTGATTTGATAAATACCTTGGAAATATCTAAATTATTCTTCTCATTTACTTTAATTATTTACGTAGCCGTATTTCCTCAGCAGACGACATTTGAATGAACGTCATCTTTTTAGTCTTGGAGCCATCTTACAATTCGTTCATATTTTCAAACATATACATTTGAAAAGGACTGTGAAGGTAGCCCCTTCGATTGGAAGGGAAATTGTTGAAACAATTTTGACAACAGTATTAATTACCCTAATTGTCCCTGATATCGATGATAATTTCCCATTTTGATTCAACGGAAAATGCGTGAAAATCGCGATTATCCTCGGTACATGAACAGGCTCGTTTACTCTAATAATTATTGCTGAATTTTTGTGTTTGATAGCTCAAAATTAAGGTTTTAATTTCCCTCGGTAGCCTCTCAAATCGCATTTCGTATTCGTTGCACAATTTTCAAATTAAATTATTAATAATTTTCGTGTCGTGAGTGGCGGGAAAACGGTGTCAGTTCATATTTCAGCATTCCATTTTCAGCCAGGGCCGTATATGAAGATTTGTGAATCTGACGCCCAAAAAATTTTTTTAAATATATTTTTGAGTTTTCATGAGCTAAAACGTTTTCTCCCTTTTTCCAGATTAAGTCTCCGCTTGAAATTTTATTTCCGGATTTTCAGTTTTTAAGAAAATTGCGAAAAAAAATCGGGCGTTCGGACAGCGCGCAATATGCATTAAACATTTTTCTCCTGTTTAAAAAGAAATAATATCAATAGCGGATGATAGCTCCTTATTCCCGGATTACGAAACAATTTTCCTTTTGTCGATTTTCTATCCAAAATTGAGGAAAATGTAAAGATTAGTATAATATGTGGCAGTTAGTCGATAAAACAGGTTAAATATTTGCTAATCACCAGATATCCCTATATGAGTTCTACAGTGCGTACAGTCACTGTATTATACAAAAAAAGAAAACCGAATGAATGAACATTTACTATTATTTACAATAAAATTGTGGTAGTTATATTTTTACACCATTATTACTTTATTTATACAGTCGTGTTTAATGACAAATATTTCATTATTCACTCGCCTCGCTCGGGTGTACACGTCACACGAGACAAGAATCTACTTTCCCGCACTTGTATCGTAATGTACTATTCCGAAATCTAGTTCTTTTCGCTTTTTTTTACATCCGAGAGATTTTCCAAGAGATGCAAATTGTAAAATTGTTATCTTTAGATGGTACAAATTAAATCGAAGCTAATTTTTGACCATATTTTATGAAAATCAATTATTTTTGTACCATAGTTTACCTGATGCGAAAAAACTTACGAGTACAAAAAAACTACCCCAGGCATTCTTCCCCGATTTCAATAATACTAAGACATGTTATAATACATAAAAAAATAACAAACATATATTTTTTTTATCAGCGGATTTGTACTTTAAGGCGGTGAAAACCACCCCCGAAAGTCATCCTCAAAACCATATTTCTTCCAATATCTTCAGTTCTATTTAATAATTTTCAATAAAACAAAATGAAAAATATTTGTCATAAAAAATGCAACTAATCATACATGTTTCGATAATAAGAGTTGCAACCGTTAGATTTAATAGGAGTAAAACTATATTTTCGGAGTATTTTTTTTCGTGTAAAATTTTACAGTACTACTATAAAAATATTTAAAAAATAACACAGCATCAATAAAAGTATCATTTATTAGTTTAGCTGATTACTATTATTCTTCCTTACATTTGATACAATCGAACTGTCTGAAAAATAATTCATAAGTTAGTTTTACACATCGTAGATCTCGGTTACTTAAAAATGTCATAATATTATGAGCTATAAGATTTGGCATTCCCAGAATACTTGTGAAATAAATTTCTGTCTCATCTAACAAAAATTTTTTCTCTTTGGCTCTTCTTATTCGCTTGTTTAAGATTTTACCGTAAAATTGTAATTTATTAGTCGCCATTCGTAGATCGAATTCATTGTTAAAGTTTTCGTTTTTCAAGTACAGAGCGAGAATATCTATATCTTTCGTCAATACGTCGTACATGGTAATGTTATTTAAAATATTTATCTCTTTCAATTTTTTTATCTCGATACAACAACTGTCGTATAGTTCTTGCCATTGATAAGAGTTTACTGCTTGATCCTCGACGATTTCTTTCTTTGAATTTAATATTGCTAGGTATTTCATTTGTAATCTCAAAGAAAGAACTCCTAATGGTCTGACACCTTCGTACTTGATAATGTCTACATTGTAAATGAAAGCAAAAACTTTATCTAAATATAATCGTGATTGAAACAAGCTACTATTATAAGCATAATCAATACAAGTTTTTCCCAAATCATCGACAGCTTTCAAGTCAGCACCAAACTCAATGAGAACATCAATCACTTCTAGATTGTTGAACAATGAAGCAATATGAAGTGGGGTTCTTTCACAACTATCTCGACAATCAACATTGAATCCATGCTCTATCAAAGCTTCAACAATGTCACTATAATTTCTACGTGCAGCAATGTGTAGAGGAGTAGTCACAATATTTTTACGGAAATCTTCTAACACGTCCTTGCCGTAATGATCTTGAATACGTAATCTCATTTCTTCAGTAAAATGAGGTAAGTCTTGAACAATACTATATTTGCAACCTTTCTCAAAAAGTAACTGTATAGTTTCTTCATCTCCATTCCAAACAGCAATGTGAAGAGCTGTTGTGCCAAATTCATCTTGTACATTCACATTTTTATAATATTTTAAAAAATGTTGAATCATTCTGTAATTTGCTTTACTAATCACCATGAAAAATATTTGGTAGTTATCCACTTTTGCATAGTTTTCTAAAAGAAGATTTACAATATTAAAATTGTTACTAGCAGCAGCATAAAATATTGGGGTGCAGTTGTCTTCATCAGTCATATTGACATCAATACCATGATCGATAAGTAGCTTTGTGATAATCATGTAACTTTTCTTTATAGCTGCATGAAGGAAAAAACGCTCATTATTCTGGACTTGACTAGAGACTAACAGATTCAGATCAAGTCCAAAATTCAGTAGACATCTGAGTATTTTTAAATGGCCATTGATAACTGCTTTATTCACGAATGATATAATTTCTTCAAAACTAATTGTATATATAAAATCAAAAGAAAATCCATAAGAAATAAGTTCTACTGCAATTCTCCTGTGATTATCTGTGTCACCAACAGCAAAATATAATGCTAATTTATTTTTTGTTATATCTGGTTTCTTATGTAACAGTTCTGTCACTATATCAAAGAAACCTTTTTCCACAGCTATGTAAAGTGGTGTCTGTCCAAAACTATTTTTTTGATTTATATTTGGTTTGTGCTTCAACAAGATTTTACATATATTAAGAAACCCCAATTTTGTGGCTATATGAAATGCTGTATCTCCAGTGTTAGTGCTTTCGTTTATGTTAGCACCTTTATTTAATATTATTTCTGTGATTTTAGAGCATTCACAAGTTACTGCCAGATGCAGAGCAGTCCTACCGTCTTCTTTGTATTTAACAGTAATATCTGCATTATTTTCCAACAAGAGATTAACCAATTTTTCATTTTTATTGAACACAGCCATGTGCAAGAGCATGTCATCATTAAATCCATGATTCACAATAGCCCCTTTTGATATCAAATATTTTGCTATTTCTTCATGTTCATAGGCTATTGCAATGTTTAGTGGTGTTTCATCTCTTGCTCCAATGGCATTGATATTTGCATTATTTTGTACAAAAAAAACTACCATTTCTCTATTACCAGATTTCACAGCATGATGGAGTGGTGTCAATTTACTGTTTGTACAACAACTATTTATTTTTGATCCATTTTCTAGCAGTATTTTGACAGCGTCAATTAATTTGTTTTTAATCGTGTCATTTACATATAGTTCTTCTTGGCAAATTTCAGCACAATTGAATGTAATACCAGGAGACATTTTATTCATCCATTCAATAGTCTTTCTTGCCAAAGAAAAGTCATATTTTGTTATCATGAAATCTAGTGGAGTCATGCCATCTTTATTTCTAATATTCACATTTGCTCCTTTATTTAATACTTTTTGTATAATTGATATGTTCAAAAAATTAACTGCATAATGAAGAGGAGTGTTTCCAAAAAAGTCTTGAGCACTAAGATCTATATCACATTGCAAAAGGAGATGAATTATTTTTTCATTATTAGCTTGAAATGCTAATTGAATAACAGATTCATTTTCATTTGTTTTGGCATTGACATCTGCTCCTCTCTCTATAAGGAGAACTACAACATCTGTGAATTGAGCTTCAACTGCTAAATGCAGATATGTCTTCCCAGACCATCTGTACTCATGGATACAATATGCACTACAATGAGTTAACAGTAATTTCAAAATATCTTCATGTGTATAAGCGAATAGTGGCATTGTACATGGAGTTATTGTAGCTCCATATTCCAATAATAATTTTATGATTTCTAAATTGTGGCATTGAATAGCATTCCTCAAATATATATTAATTTCATCTTTTTTATAAACATGATTCTCTAAATAGTATATCACTTTATCTTTATCCCCTTCACAGATGGCCTTGAATAACCTGTGATTACTACTTGTACGCACAGCCTCAAGAACCTGATAAATTCGCTCCTTCATGATTATTGATTAGAAACTCAATATTGAGTTACTTCCGAGCTACGACATAAATAATTAATCTAGATCAACGCTCGAATATATAAATATATTTTATGCATAAACAATTTAATGATTTACCATTAGCCAGAGCTGTTGCAATATCTGATCAAATTAAATTGATATTTAACTATTTTATACAGGTTTCAGGACTCCCAGGACTCAGTATATCATCATGCTTCTACGAAAATAACCTTTATCTTATCAGTGCACTATATAGCATATAAGTTGCGTACGCATCAGAAATGGAGGAACAGGAAGGCAAATGGCGCCATGGCGGTGAGAAACACAACAAAAGTAACGAGCACTTCTTAAAAACTTGTTTATCGCTTGTTTTTCACGAAATTTCATTGAAACACATCGCAATTGTGGTCTATTGATGCACTAGTCCGAATGCGACATCACAACAATGGCTTTGAATCTGCCTATAGACTCTTCACCTTTGGATTCTATGGGAACCAAAAGAAGAAGGTTAGAATAATTTATTAATTAATTTGTTTCCTCGTTCTAATACACATAATAATTATGAATACCTATTTTCTAGTTCATCTCGAACGATCAAACGCAAGAAATTCGATGACGAATTAGTGGAAACCACCTTTAATCTTCAACCATCTACTGCAACACCGAAATCCAATCCAAGATCACGTACAGTATCGAGTTCATCTGGGCCATTAGATGTTTTGCCCCAACCAGCTCTACCAAGTCCAGTGCCACCAGTACCCATTTCACTGATTCCTCAGCCAGATCGTTCCAATCGTAGACCTAGTAGACCCAGTGGTTCAAGCCACAGTAGCAGGAAGAACAAAAAACACAAACATCATCCCCATTCAGTAAACTCTACAAAAGATCTTGGTCGATGGAAACCAACAGATGATTTGGCTCTTATAACCGGTGTTCAGCAGACTAATGATTTAAGAATGGTAATATTGTACCTAATTATTCATAAAGCATTGTATTATTCAAGCTACTCTTTAATTTTCCACTTATCTTCCTCGTCTGGCTGTTCTAGGTGCATCGTGGAACAAAATTTTCTTGTCGATTTACTCTTCAAGAAATTCAGCAAAGATGGTATGCTCTTTTGTATGATAGCGCAGTATCTCGAGTGGCTGTACAGGCAATGCGAAATTTACATCCAGAATTGATTGCAAGTGTTCAAGCTAGAACTCTGTACAGCAAAAATGAAGAAGACTTACTTGGAACAATAAAATCTGTAAGTCATTTGCTTCTTATTTATTTATAAATATTAGTAATTTGTCTTTTTAATATTTACAATTCATTGTTTCAGGGCTCACATCCTTCTTTAGAAACTTTTCAGAATTTATTAGAAATGAATGCTCAAACATTTTATCCAGCTAGAACAGCAAAAGCCCTAATGGCTCATTGGCAACTAATGAAACAGTATCATTTAATTCCAGACCAATCTATTCAAACTTGCACTAGAACAGAAAGTATTTTAAATTTTTCTGATGCTGAAGAAATGATCAATGATGCTGAATTAATTGATCAAAAAGATGAAGTTCTTGACAGTGAATTACAAATGATGGACAGAAAAAATAAAAAGGAAATAAGAGTGTTGGAGAATGAATTAGGAAGATGGCAAGTACTGGTGGACAATGTCACAGGAAATATTCAGCCAGACTTTGATAATCAAACATTAGCAGTACTTAGAGGAAGGCTGGTTAGATATCTTATGAGATCACGTGAGGTAAATATTTGTTTCGTTATATAATATCATAATTAAAAGAAATCTGATATTTAATAAAAATTACTACAATTTTTAGATCACAGTCGGTCGTTCTACAAAAGATCATACTGTAGATGTCGATCTAGGTTTGGAAGGTCCAGCTTGGAAAATATCACGACGTCAAGGTACTATACGTTTAAGAAACAATGGTGATTTCTTTTTGGCATCTGAAGGCAAAAGGCCAATATTTGTTGACAGTCGACCAATACTTGCTGGAAATAAAATGAAGCTTAACAATAACAGTGTTATCGAGGTAGAGTTATAGAAAATTTTAAATAATTTTATATATCGCATTATTGATTGATCTCATTATTATCTTTGCAGATTGCTGGATTGAGATTTATTTTTTTGATTAATCAGGAACTAATATCAGTTATAAGACAAGAAGCAGCCAAACTGAATTTGAATCCATAAGTGAATTTTTAGTTTTTATCAGGCTAATAACCAATGTTGTAAATACATAATTAAGTTTATAGTTCCTTTAATAACTTTTAATCTACTAAACTTAGAAAGTGTCAATTGATGTAAAGAACAAAATGGCTTTTAATTTTCAAATATTGATTTATTCGTAAGTACTGTAAATCTTTTAATTTAATGTAACACTTTAATGATGAAAAAAAAACCGTGATTCAGTGGAAAAAATTTCTTTGTTTATTTTTCATTATTTTACTGATTCTTAATTATCTCGAATTGAAATTATATGTAAAAAAACGTAGGGGAAGTTATTCTTGTACAGTAGCGTATTAAAGTGTTCATTAAGATTGTATAAATATATTTTTTATTTGAAGTGAGAAGAAATAAAATAGTCAAAATTTTTATAATCAACCTTTATTTAGGAATATAATCTTTTCAAAACCAACTCATCTCCAGTCCCGACATGAAGCATTTTTATACAGTTGTTCAAGTATAGGTACATACAAGTCTATGGCATATGCATATAGCTATCCAATGTCAAATTGGACAAAATAAGATTGGGTTTCTTGTAATCAGTCGTTGATTCTCGAGATTGTTAATAACAATAAATGACAAAGACTGGAGGATAAAAACCAAGTATCAAACTAAACATTAATCTATTTTTGTGTGATCAACTTAAAGAAAGCCATGTGAACGGTTTTTTTTTTCTTTTTTCATACATTATTAGTTTCAATCAACTTACTTTCCTATTTGTATTAAATGTAATTCGCACCCGATAAAAAAGATTTTCAGAATATAATTAAAAGCATATAATATCAGTATATGTACTGTAAGATTTCAATTTTTAGCAACTGGACATGCACCAGTACATTATTTACCGACTTGCACATTGCCCACGCACATTTATTATCTCATATCAAGTGGATAATGCAAAGCGCAGCAACATAGGTTCGTGTTGTAGTACAACCTATTATTAATGTATTTTGTTCAACAACATTGATTTTAAAATCTGTATAGTTATTTAGCTTGTAACTGATTTAACTTGATAAACGCGCGCGCTAGTTTCTGGTTAATCAAACTGATGACTGGAAAAATCGAAGTATTTCAATATTACAAATACAATTGAAAACTGTTTATGTATCGTTTCGTTCAAGTAAATAGAGATTATTTACAAATTGTTTGTAACAAAGCCTATAGCACTTCTGTTTTATTTCACGTTTATTACGATTATTAGACTTCAACACCTTCATCACTCTCATAAACTGAACTTTACACGTGTTGGCGTTGATTTGTTATCGTCAGTGCCATATTCATGTTATAATTAATTATTTTATAAAATTGAGTTACACTGTATTTCTGTATGAAATTTGGCTCGATCCTCTATTCTACCTATAAAAGAGAGGAGCATCTGGCGTTTTTACTTTCAAATATTTTGTTTTGCAATCAATTTTTTATAACTAATAATAACAAAATTATGGCTCCATATAAAAATCGTTATTTTATACATGAAATCAACGTGTACTCTTTTCACCTACTCGTAGTATAGGATTAAATCTGCAGTTTATACATTTCTCGCAATTATTCGCACAGCAAACACCGTATGTACTCCTGCAATTCTGTTCATATCTGTAGTGTGTATGCGTAACAACTCAATCGCGCGACTAGAATGCAAAGTTGTACAAAGCCGCTACATGAAATCGTCGTAATCATTGTCGTATGCAGTAAAATCATTGTATTCGTCATCGCCTTCAATTTTTAATTTCGCTTTGCCTTTGCCTTTGTTTTTCTTGCCTTTTTCTTTATCCATTTTCACCTTTTCAGTGTGCAAACTTTCAACTATCAACTTTACTTTTCTCAAAGAAGTAGTTGATACTAAATAGAACAAAGTTTTAATTAATCAATTTCTCATAAATATCAAATTTCCATTGAAAAAATGGTAATACTCACAAGATAAAGAAATATTTTTTATTAAATCTTCGGCGAAAGTTGCGAACTCCGTATGCTGGTTGAACTGATTGATTTTCGTTATCAATGCATCGCCAAACTGCTTGAACTCATCCGCAGTGTCAGGATTCATGGCATCAAGACCCGTTCCTTCTGTCACACCTTCAACAAATAATAAAGGCGTTGAATAAAAGGTGCTTCAAATACATTAATTATGTACTTATTTGAGACTCCAATAGATTCATAAATAGAAAGCTTATTTTATTCTAACTGTTACAAAATTGAATTGTACAAAATGATATTTTCAAAGTTCTAATTGTTCAAAAGTTACAAAAATTTCAATGAGCAATATGAAATAAAAAAGAAATGACATAATACTAGTTTTTTACATAAAGTGCAAAATATTAAAATGGAGTTAAAAAAGGTCAATTAAAAACTGAATTGGACACAACGGTTTAGTTTCTTGGAATAATAATTTTTATTGAAATACATTAACATTATTACTTTAGTTGGAGTACTAGCAAAGTCGATGTTATTTGAGAAATTCAATGGTACATCTCATATAGTTTTAGAGAGATTATAAAATGTACACTTACAATAGTATAATTTTAAATATAAAGTTAGATTTTTCTGTGAGATGCATCGTTTGTATAAAATATAAGCTAATTTAATCTTAAATTTATTAACAATACTGTTTAATTTAACGATATATAAAAATATTATAAAACTATAAGTTAAGATGCGCTTTAATTTTATGCAGTCATTGACTTGACTTTAATTCATATTTAGTTACCGTTGTGCCAATATAATAATTATCATTATTTGATTTAATATAATAATTTTTTAGTTCAGCCTAGAAAAAAATATGTCTACGTTTCTTAAGTAGTCATGTTCAGAAAATTTATTGTGATTTTAATATAATTACTTTTTAATATTTAGAAAATTTAGTAAAAAACGTGATTCCAAAATACATTTGTTTAAAAAAATTGACTATATATCGTATAATTTAATTCTCTATATTATTAAATATAAAATATGTACAATGTATATTAAGTGAAACTTTCTTCTGGTAATTTTTCATAAGATAAACAAATAGATTGTTGACATGTTGACAATATTTGTAATATAATTAGTATTACTGAGTATTTGGAAAATATATGAATTGAATAAAAAAATTTTCATAAATCATATAAATCTGAACTCAATATAAATCACAGACATTTGATAAAATATTTTAAAAAGTTCGATATTTTCCTTGCTCAAACAATGAATTCCTGTGAGATGCTTTTGTACGCTTGATACCACACAGCAATTTGTTGTTAATAAAAATTTAAAATGAAGAATGAATATTATTTCTTTTCACTTTTTTGTTTCTCAGGTTTACGAGGAGTAAAATCTACAAGGTTTGACAAACCGAAAGTTTCCATTGCAAGTCGCAGATCAGCTTCTTCTTGGAGCTTTTGTCTTCTGAGTATATCAGCTCTTCGCTCTTCAGGTGTCAAAGCTTCTTCCTTCTCCTTTGCCTTTCTTTCAGCTTCTTCTCTAGCTTTTTTCTGTAACATCAAATAAATATGCTTAATTATTTTCTGGTAAATAACTGAATAGTGATTTTTGAATTTATAAAATAATACAAACCTCTCTTTCTTCAATTTTTTCTGCTAAAGTTTTCTTAGGCTTTGGCTTGGCCTTTGGAACTTCTTGACTTGGTTTCTCCACATCCTTCTTTTCTTCATTCATATCCTCCCAGCTTTCCTGTATTAACAAATTTACGAATAAATAAACTGTATAATTGGAATTCTTTTAAATATTAAAATACAAAAATTTGATTAACTTAAATTAATTGTCAATAGTAAACTTTTCTTTCTCAAGTTATATGTTAACTTAATCATTAAAGGTTAGTTAATAATAACTTTAATGTCAGAAAATTTTATTAAGAAGAAATATCACTCTGATTCTTTATTTGAAAATCAATATTTAATTATTTTATCAGTTGATTAGTTTACTTTATACATGCTATTAGTTAAACATTAGATTAAATAAAATACAAAGTATGAAAAATTATCCAGATTGTTAATACAAGTACTTATGTTATATTGCAAAAAACGCGTGAACATTTCAAAAAAATTATCGACCGTCGTACATTCATCCCAACCCCAATAAAAAACTTGAAATTATTATTCGAATTAACAAATTCAAATGAATCATGAGCGTTTAATTATAGAGTAATCGTAAGTAAACCCACACACCTCTCGTAGATAGATCGCGAATGAAATATGATGACATAACGAAGAAATTGCATCGATTTTTTCATAAAGAGTAACCAAAGGGCCGTTCAAGAAGAAAGTTGGCCATGTGGCAGGGAGCGAATTTAACATTGCACGCACGGCGAGAATAGGTTAGGCGTACCATTGACGATTTCACCTATGTAACGATCTGGTTAAAAAAAAATTCAAATGAACGTACCAAAACTTCCTCCTCCTCATCCTCGCCTTCCCACTTGTTCTGGCGAACATCGAACTCGAAGTCCTTGTTGATGTCCACATCTGGCTCTGCAACCGATAACACGAGGAGTCAAATTTTGGTTGGTCTTGCACTTTTATTGATATCACAACGTTTGACAAAACTGATGATATTCTTACCCCACTGATCGTCCATGTTGTATATTGCGTCTTGTCCGAACACTGTCTCTTCTAGATGATAATTTCTCACGAGGTCAAATCCATGCAAATCCTCGACGAACGTCTCTTTGTGGTAATAATGCCTCTGATGCTACTGTAACAAAATCGGCGACTGAAACGTGTCTGGACCCGAACCACCATATTGATGTAGATGGCACTGACATCTCTGCGCACGCAGCGTCACAAACACACACGTGCTTTTCCTTATGCGTGTATGTTATTTTGGAATGATTTTGATGGAGTCAGGTTTCATTCAAAAAATGCTAGCAAGAACTTTTTATAAAAAGAAACTTCAACCTTTGGATATTCTATTTATTTCCACATAGAAACATACTAAATGACTTAAGAGCTTTTTGGATAATTGTTTCAATGGTGTAAAAAATTATTTCCAGGATTTTGTTTACTTGATAAAAGAAATTAATCGCGCGAGAGCTAATTTGCTGATTACGTCAGTTAGCTGAATGAAGCCATAACATTTTCCATCACTATCTGTAATATTACTTTGATAATTCTCTCTTAATCGTGTTCAGAAAGTTATGCAGTTTTGAACAAAATGTTATACTATAGAATAGATGCGTCTAAACATTGAAAGCACACTCATCAAAGCCTGACAGTGTTATTCAACTTGACGTGCGCGTATATACACAATTGACCGTGAATCATCGCCGCTGTGAAAAAGAGAAAGAGAGAGGCGAGCGCGGGTCTATTCACGCTCACTCGTTTGGCTATGCCTGTCTTTGTCTGTGCCATTGAATAGATAAAGCGCGAGCGATCACTGAAGAAACTACGCTAACGTACTCGCGTTTTTGGGGACGCGACATTTTATGGCGCGAATGGCCGAGAAGTGGTGGTGGTAGGGATTGCCGCGGCGTCGCTGCCTTTCTCACAAATACACACACACAGACATTGATAGGATCGTTCACGCGCACTTACACAGACAAAAAGACACGGCCAGTAGTAGTATCAAGTAGTACGTCGAGTGCACGCATGTAAACAAGGGAATTCGAACGGCCTCGGAAAATCCGAGGGAAAACTGTTCTGTGTGGAAGCGTCGTCATAACCTCTGTTATGTGTGAATATCAAGGAGTTGTGCGAAAATGTGAGCGTTGCGTGGCCGGTTATTATTATGGACCACGAGCTCGAGGCGGATGCCCTTAAGCTCCCGGAGGAGGCGACGCAAGAGGAGCTGCCCAAGCAGGAACGAGCCTGTCAGACTAACAGTAGTCCTGTCAGTACTTGGAGGCTGGTCAATGCAGCAACTGCAGCATCCCAGCAGACCAAGGTACCACTGACAGTGACAGCCAACAAGCTATCCTCACCAGTGATGGAGTATTATCAAAAGTAAGCATGCTTTTCTTTTTCCTACTTTCACTCTTGCTCTCTGTGTTAATAGAACCTTTGGCAAAAATCAAGCTTTCTGCCTCCCAGATGTTCTACTTGTTAAAGTTTTTCATTCATCACCAGCGATGCTTTCAGGTTTGCCCAGAACAAAAACTTGAATCAGTATTTCTCTCTATCTGATTTGGCTGCCAATCCTTTGAAAGATGCCAAGTATTACTACAGTATTTATGAGTTGACTCCTAAATATGTTTCTGGTAGTCAAAGTTACACTGAATCAGATTATGCTTTGAACTCATATTTGCCCAGAGAAAGGAAGCGCTGGACGAGACCTGCTCTGATTGGCCAGTCTTCTTCTGTTAATGGTACTTCTGATTACATTCAGGTAATTGGTGTTTAGTTTGGCCATATTTTAATACTTTCCAGTTTAATATGGCAAAATTGTCAGATCAATAACTGTCAAATTTAAAAGAATTTTTAATTGTAAAAGTTTCTAATATAAGATTAAAAATGTTTGTTTTTAAGAGAAACGGAAACTGAAATTAATATTGACTGAATGTTTAAATCTGCTATTGATGTATTATTTTAATAACTAAAAAAGTCATAACATGCATTTTTTTCCAAATTACTCTCATATACTATCGATTCGCACGCTATTTCCACTCATGATCTCACGTATTAAAAAATTTTATTCTCGTATTAAAAATGTTATCGTTGCAGTCGATGACAGAACAGTCGGCGCAGAGTCTCACGGAGAACCAGCAATACCAACAAGAGCCAGAATCCTTACTTTGCGAGAACGCGGATACAAGTACCGAAGGTCTGGTGATAACTGAAGAGAAAAGCACGGCGACGACTTCTCAAACGTCACCTCTGCTGACGATAGAGCATAAAACGACAACGTCACCAACGTCGAGTGTCGCCTCGCACAAACCACTCGAGTGGGATAGTGGAGCTGACGTTGGATATCAGTATCAAGCCACGAACGGTGGTGTTAGTACAATTGAACGCATGGCCGTCAAGGCACTCAGACTGGATCCTGAAGGTACCACTGAGCATCAACAGCTAGTTGTTAATGACAAAACAGACATAGATAAGAATGTTATTGGTGGCAAACCAGATGCCAATTCTACGCCGTTACTCGGCAATGTAACTGGTAGTGACAGCGAGATTGAGATTACGCCGATTGTTAAAAGTCATACGTCTGGAATTATAGCTGGAGACAGAGCTTCGTCTGAGGAGGTCGATGGGGTGAAAACTAGAAGTGATCCGCTCAAGGTTTGCGTTTATTTTTTTATTTTTTCACTGTATTGAACTTTTGTACGAGTAGACGCTAATAGAAATAAGCTTTTATAGTTTTTTTATGAATTAATTTTATTATTTTTCTGGAAAAGAATTTTTGAGATCATACTTGTTAGAACAATTTTGTATACGGACAAACAAGTATGAAAATAACCTCATATTGTGGACAATCGGGCGGCTGTCGACGGTTTATTCAACCAATCTTTTCACAAATCATAATTTGCAGACGTAAATTCATTCTTAAAGTGCACTATGATAAGATTGTGTTCAAGTTATTAAGTATTTATTTATAAGTCACAATGAAATTAGCGTAACTACGAAACCGTAAGTGAATGCCATACCTCTGTTTTGTCAACGTTTTCTTTAAGGCATATTTTGTCCTAAAATACGCATCGGAGGATGTTCATACTTCGGTTAATAATAATTGATTATTAGATAATAAACCGAATTACGGTTTGACAAAAATTATATTTCTAAAACAAATTGGATCAATAATTTTATCCGAGAAAATAAACAGACGCCACGCAATGTTGCTATGGAAATAATCGATTTTTGTTGATTTCATCGACTAGTTGACTGTATTTCGCTTTATTATCTAATAATCAATTATTAGCTGAAGTGTGAATTTCATCCGATACGCATTTTAGGAGAAAATATGACCCAAAGAAAAGTCGGTAAAACAGACGTATAGCATGTCCTTAACGAGTTAACTTCAAATGTGTAACGCTATTTGTTTATTATTTGTTTATATTAACCTAGTTATGTGTTGCTGCTAGAATATTTCTATTTTAATTCAAAGAATACTACTCAAGAAAACTATTCTATCCAAAAATTAACCAATCACTTTAACTCAACACAACAATACAATGCTATCGCATGTCCATACGAAGTAATAATGAAAGTTACAATGCAATAAACTACAAACGATTGTTTCCCTTGTTAGTCGCACACGTGTACTATCAAGTAGCTTATTTTTTTAGATTAATAATTGTTAAAATCTCTACAAGTCATGATAAATCGCTATTTGAAATGAACTTTTAGGAGACAAAAAATGCTTGTATCGAGACACCAAAATCAGCCAACGTGTTCAAGCTGCCGCTCGCATTGAGTTATTCTTCAGACGAACCTAGTAAAAGTAAATCAAGAGTCACAGTGCCGACGATTGTCAGTTCTTCCAAAGAACGCAGCAGATCAGATAAGTCATCAGATAGCTCGTCACCGTTGAAGAAGAGCTCGTCGATGAACTTGCTTGCGGCAGTTTCACCGACACGATTACCTCTTAAACGGAGTCAGAGCGAATTAAACTTGTGGGGTAATGAAAAAGCTCTGCCACGGCTAATCTTTAACTCAACGTCTTCCATCGCTACCGTGGTTAATAATATTAAACCACCCACCTGTAATAAACTTATACAAACAAGCATGAGAATTTGTGCTCAAGAATCCATTGGTGTTCAGGTTTCAGTACTCAAAGTAAGCGTTTTCTAATATCTAAATTTTATCAAAATGAAACAGTTGATCGTATTTGTTTTATGACTGTAATACTTGATTTTTCATTTAAGGATGAGGAAAGACCGCCACTTCCAAAGAGAGCAACAAGTTTAGCACCAAGATCTCTGAATTCCATTTTAAAAGGGTCCAAAAGTACATTTAAGATTCAGAATCCGAAAAATAGTTCTAGTATAAAAAACAAATCGACTTCCAAAGAGGAAGAACAGCATGAAAAAGAAATAGAAAGTAGTTCTGATCAATCTTCTCAAAATGCTTCTTTGACTCCTTGTGCCGATGATACTGAAAATATCACTGGCAGGGCCAATAGTTTCGAATATTTTCCAGGTGAGCTTAAAATATTCATGGCGAAAAATACAGGCACTAATATTCTTTACTCAAATAAGAGCTAATAAATTATCAATTATTTAAATGTAAAAATTTGTTATTTTTTAGGTCACATTTACGAAAATGTTCCGAATGGTAGTTCCAGTCACGTATCTTCGGTGGACACCGGGCGCTCCAATTCTACAATGCCAAACACGAGTTCAAGTATTGAAGAGAAATTATGGGGTGACTCGGACAGCTTAGTTCGCGACCTTGAGCGAAGCATTCATATTCTTAAGGGTCTCGTTGACGCGAACAAGCTGGACAAGCAAGTGAAGAAACGATTGATCCATCACGTGGTCAAGCGCCTCGTCACCGCTAAGTACACTGACGATAAGATTGAACATAATTTGGAGGAAAACGTGCCTTGGAATCCTGCGGACGCCAGAAATAAAGTGTATAGGACGGAAATTATCCAAGCTCTGGCAAAAAATACAACTGATTCGTCAGATGATTGGAAGCCGACCCAGAAGAAAAAGAGTCCCAAAAAATCGGCTCCTGCTAAGGAGTCTAAAGCGATGAAAGATATGATTAGTATGCCAGGTATTTAAATTGTACAATTATAGTTTTTTTAAGTTATTTAAAATATATTACTTTATTGGTATTAGTGTGACCTATAGTTATGAATCGTTCTTAATTGAAAAGAGTATGATAATTTATTATCGCACTATAACCTTATAGTAGTATAAATAAAACGTACAAATCTTATTTAATTGATTACAGTAACAAAATTACTTTTTAAAACGATACAATTTTGTGTATTCAGATAGTTTTTCGTTTTCAATATAAAAGTATAGAAATAATTTACTTTTTAGATTTATCTAGAAGCTCAAAATTAATTCAAAACAAAAGATAATAATAATTTCAATTTATTAAACAAAATGTTGTTTCTTTAATATTTTGCTAAAATAAAACTGTTATGTTATTATTTCCTCATTGGAAATTCGACGGGTAGGTAAGTCGATAAGTAGGCGAACAACCTCGAAGTCGATCAAACTATCTTATAGTCAGTTATGCTTATTCAAATCAAGAAAATCGACTAGAGTATAGAACTACCAATAAATAAAAAGTGAATGAAAAGTTGCAGTTCCGACGATCGTCAGTTCTTACGAGACTAGAACTACTCTTCGTTTCTTGTAATTATGGGAACAGTCGTTGCTACAGATATCAGGTTGTCATTTATTCGGTTTTATGAGCTCAAATTTTTAAATATTAACTCTTTGAATGGTTATAAGTATATTAGTATTAAATAGTATTATTTCTTCAATATCTGATTCATTCAATCAAACTGATGACAAAAAATGTTATAGCACATTTTTTATATTCGAAATCTTTTTATACGAATCTTAATTATTTTTATTCATGTCAAATAAAATCAATACAATTTTTAAATATCGTTCAATAGTATCTATTCTTTAAGTAATTATATTTTAATGAATAACGAACTTTGCAATTACCTTAATAAATTATAATTTTTCCAGCCGAAATCGAAAGTAGCAACAGTGACAAATTCGACAGAAATACGGACCGAACCGTGATGGACGGACGGAAAGCGAGAATGGGTTTACGAGCAGACGACTGCGAAAGACGTAACAGTTCGAATACGCCGACAAACAAAAGCGAAAGCTCCGAATGCTTTCTACCTCAACGTCAGTTCGCCAAAATCGATAAGATGAAGGATATGTTTATCACATCCACTTCTAACAGCTCACCGCAAGATCAAAATAGGGCACTGTTAGACGCAGTTGTCAACAGTCGGCGAAGTCCAGTCGATTCGAGCAACGAAGCAGGAAATAGTGCCGATTGGCGAATGCCTACGACGATGTCCGAGCGGAGGTACGAGATGCGTCGTTGCAGTAATTCTGATTCGGGTGATACGAAACTTGTTTCTTATGCGGAAATGGAGAAACAGAACCAATTAATCTGGATCACTAATGAAATCAGTCATTTGTCCAATCTTAAGAAACTTCTTGAACAACCAAAGACCAAACCAGACAGACCCTGCAAACCATCGCCGCGGAAAACAAAACAATCATCGTCGAAGCAGCAACAGCAACAACAACAAAAGTCTTACCATCGTTTACAAAACGATGACCTTGATGACGTTCGTTTGAACAGGCAGTGGTCATCTCACTGTAACCTTGCCACCTGTCCATCTCCCTGTACGAATTCGATAAAGAGACTGAAAAAGAGGAACAGTTCGACGCAAACAGCTACGGAAAATTCGGCTGCATATTCAAGGACCGGCAGTGAAATTGTATCGGCAAGGATTCAAAGTCCTAATGAGAAGGTATCGCATGTATGCGTTCAAACTTCAAGAACAACATCAGCTCTTCCCCGTTCATCTCAGGTAAAAAAATTAATAAAGAACAAAAGTCTTTATTTTTTTAACATGCATTATTTTAAGACTTAATATTTTATGCTTTCTTTTAATAGACATGTTCAAGTTGTCCCGTGCATAGACCAGCAACAGCTACAAACTACACGTGTGCTGAACAAGCATGTACGTTTTGTAGATCCAAAAACAGATTGCATCGACGACAATTCTCCTCTGATGAAGATAAAAACGAGGCTAGGTTTATGTGCAATGACTCCGAAGATGCTAAAGCAGCGAAGAATCATTTGAATGCCAATAAATTGAAATGTACCTGTGAAAGCAACGACCAAGTCAGTCAAAATTTGAAAACAGATAGACCGAAGAAGTTGGCAACTGCAATTCAAACTTGTAAAGAATGTCATTGCGAAGGTTCGTTGAAACGCGCATCCGTTGATTAAAAATTTAATATTAGTTTCGATTTCTCATAATAATATCGTATTTTTAGATTCAATGTGCTCGTGCTTGAGATACAAAATAGTTCAATCGACATGTCAGTCTTCGCGTGACTGCGAATGTGCTAATAAACTCGTTTGCGGCTTTGAAAAGTTACAAATGCGCGATAATCCACCTTCAAGGAAAAAACTCTTTGAAAAATCGGCTTGTACTTGTAAATATAAAAACTCTGAAGTAGCGCCCAGTACTAGAACAGAGTGTAATCATCATTCCAGTCAAGGAAACGCGTGTGATTTTCTTAATTCTAATCAAAGTCCAAGCTCTCGAAATTGCTGTTGGGTGCATCAGGCGGAAGATCAAAACAAACTTTTTAACGGGTAATACAATATTTATTCAAAAAAATTGTTAAATATTATGCTCAATAATTCATGTTAATACGTTTTTAGTGCAAAACCAAAACACGCAGTGAAATCGCTGACAAACGACTGCAAATGTTGTAGGCTTTGTGGTACAACTTATCAAACTAATCGACAATGCAATTGTGCTCCGAAGGTTTATCCAAAAGCAGTTGCCTACGAACTATCCTTTACGAATGATAATGATAAAGTCAGTTACAATATGCCTGAAAAATCGAGCGTTGGTGTAGAGGTGACAAATATTGAGAAAAATACTCCAGTCGTTTCGAGCGCCAGATCTCAGGAGCCACTGAACCACGGCAGTTGTACTTATGGTATGCAGCGTCCGTTCAAACGTTGTGATTGCAATTGTAAAGATAAACAGTCGCAAACATGTGACGATAAAAAAACTACACTGCAGGTTAGTAGTTACTTTATTTTTATAACATGTCTCATTGTGTGACATGATTAACATGTTAATATTTCTTGCAGGGATATTTAGCTACTAATCATCCTCGATTTGCTGACAACGTTGAAAGTCGTCGACAGTATGTTTCTGAAATTCAAAGACTCCGCCAGTTGAGGAAAGATCGTCGAATGCAATTACTTGCAATGACAACGACCCCTAATATTTTTTCTCCTCCTCAACAACATAAAGTTATCCGTAAGTTCTTACGCTCATTTGCAAAGAGAAATTAATTTACAAATGTAAATTATTATCTATTTTCCATTTTATTTTTAGAAAATGTACAAATGAAAATTTCTGATCAAGAAATGAAGGCTAGATTACGAAAACGATACTTTCAATTATCAGAGGTACGAGCGAAACGAAAAGAACAGCAATTACAGGAGCAGGCACGTTGTAACAAACTGATGGCAAAAATATTTTGTAAAAAGCTACAACAAAAGGTTTTAAAGGGGCAAGTTAATCTGTCGCAGAGCGTGAGCGTTATATCCAATCTGTAGTGTCAAACGTGTTCTATAGTAAAATCAAGATTTATACGTAGATTAATTGGATAAGAATATCATACTTTACCAGTTTTTCAATCGGACTAGAACGAAAACTTTTTGATACAACTATATAACTTAGAGTGCCTTCCAAAGCATAAAAGATTTTATGGAATATTTAAATATCAATTTCGAGTCTTACGAACAATTCATCTAAAAATAGGTTTGACAAATTTGATCATAAAACTGGTGAAGATGAAAATTCGCGTCCTTCTTAATAAAAACTTAATACTCTTATTTACAATTCATGTGAATTTAAATAGTATTAACTAAGAGAGTTATAATTTTATAATTTATTTGTATAATAGATATTCATTTACAACTAATAACTAACAGTAAATTTGATATTGTGCAAGGAGTTGTTTCGAAGATTACAGATCTTCGGTAATTTTTCTTACACATAGAAATTTTTTATTGATCATATATTATACCAGATCTATCGTGAATTTATTAGTTTTAAAATATCTGTTATTGTAAGTAAGTATTTATCTTGAGAAAAGTATTATTTGTACTGGAAATTTTTTTCAATCAATCAGAAAGACTGAAAATAACATATAAAAGAAGTTAATATTCAACAGTATGTATATGAAGCATGACAAGTATCGAATGATCGCAACATGACATTGTCTTTTCTTATAACTGGACATAATATAAAATTGTATTGAAGTATTTTTAGTCTATAATTTGTAGATTTGTGTAAACAAGAATTAATCATAAAGCAAAGTCTGAAATTTCCATTAAATATAAATTTTAATATAAGCATTTATAAGTTTATAAGTACAACTTAGAAGAGATTCCAAATGAATTTTATCAATTTAAAAGATTATTCAAAGTACACTCAAGGTTTCTCAACCATATAAGGATCTTTCTTGTACAAAATAATCTTGAAGATATTTTCATTTGAATAGAAATGAGCCTAGTACCTGAAACATAGTACACAATTCTTTTCATTAATTCATTTAGAGTAGGTTTTTTCTTGCCATTTTACATAATTTTAGAATGTACGCTATTATTCGATAAATATTAATATTTGATTTGAGATTCATCGGATCAATAAATATGTATTGTAACCATCTGACGTACCCCAGTGCCTTGTCTCTACAGATTTCGAAATTATAGTTTTAAAAATTTTATTTTTATTTGTTGTCTCTCAAAACGCTTACTTTCATCAATTTTGTATTTAATTTAGATTTAAAGTATTTAAAAATATTATACAAAATTTATCTGTAAAATAATAAATAAATTTATTCAGATCTTTTAATAAGTATGCGCATTGATACTTTATGTCCTTGTCTTGTCATTTGCAGATTTAATATTGCATTATTTAATATTTATGTTTATTTATTTACTTATTTATTTATTGCCAAAGTAATATACTCAAATTACATAATTGCAATAAATATACATATGCTTTACAAAAAAATTGTAATCTAATAGAGGAAATAGCTGTTCACTGGTCTGGACTATAATTAAAAACTTAAAACTAAAAGGAAAAAATGGTCATTTTCCTATTTCTTGCAAAAATTATATTTTCTACGGGGTCAAGTCTTGTCGGATAAGTAAGTTCAACTACACATATTACTCTATATTACAGGAGAATTGTTTGGTGTTGTAAAATTTAGTTACATTAGCGAAAAGCTAAAAACTATGTCATCAGCAACTACTAGGTTTTAGTATTTTTGTTGTAATTATAGTGAGTGAAACGAGTTCTTAAAAGATTTGTTTTCGTTTTGTATCTATTAAAACAGGATAGTGCTGTGTTATTGCCAAAATAGTTGATATCCCCGTAAGTCATCTTAATATAGTTTGAATGCTGGTTTGATTGCTCAGAGCAGATTCTGCTTTAGTCACTTTTGCCTCAATATTGTTTTCTATTATGTCAAAAACCGTTTTGATATAAGTGTATATTTTTCGATATTATTGTTGTAGATTCTCATTTACAATCTAAGGCTTTTGTAAATTATATTTGTTTAAAACCCTTGTGATAGGGTTTATTGTAGTCTTCCTGTTTTTTCTTAATTTTGTCGTTTTGTTGATTGAATAATTTCATAAATTTATTTATCGATTTGATTATATTTTGTTCGATACGTTGATGGCTTTTGATTGAAGTTTATAATTGTATAATGTTAATCTTGAGTGAGATCTATTGCGGTATAAGTTCACCTTTGATGTGCACGTTTAACAGTATTTTGTCTGGAAAATTTGTATGAATGAATTTCCGTTGAATTTTTTATCTAATAATTGTATAAGTTGTTTACAATTGAATTTACCTTCAATATTTATCGTATTGCTTCTATCTTGCAACTATCTTGAGTTCATTTGATAATATGTTAAAATGAGTAATAACTCTTATATAATTATTTTTAATGCTTATTTTCCTTATTCTTTTTGGGAGTTATGCACTGTCATATCTTACTGTTTTGTTTATATTATTTAATGTTTTCGATAGTTCTTATTATAAAGATTCGAAAGAGAAAGTTTGTTAAATGTGAAACTGATTTTTATCTGCTATAAAGTGGGTTTTATTTACTATTTGAAGTAATCTGGTCTGTTGTAGGTTTTTAAGCCTTTTGTTCTATCTGAATAAGCTCTTCGGATCCCCATGCATAATTATTCCGTAAAATATAACACTATATAATAGTGCATAGTAAATGATTCTTAATATTTCTCTACTCATAGCTTTTAATAATTTGTAGAATATAAAGATTAGATATTTTGTTTTCTTATACAAATTAATTAAATGAAATAACCCATTTCATGTTGCTGTCAATTGTCATACCTGGATATTTTATATTGTTTACTTGATTTATTCTTTTATGTTATATATTAATTTTCAAGTTTTTGGGTATACTATTGCAATTGTACCAAATTCTATATAAGCTATTTTGTCAATATTGAGTGATAATTTATTGAATGCTAACCAGTTACTATAATAATTTTCTCGTGTACATTCGTATTAGTTTGAATTTTCTCTGAATGAAATGATAGTTGCTATCATCTGCAAAAGAGAGGTGAATCATTAAATTTTAATTTATAGCTAAAAGAAATTTAATGATTCACCGTTATAATTATTAACAATGGAAAAGCGTTTTATTACGTAAAAGAGAATATATAATTTGGCTTATGAGTCGACAAAAATGAAGACTTGAAGATTATTATTATATTTTCTGCTCAATGAAGGCACCCATTAACTTTGTTAATAGAACTATTTCTCATGTGTTGTTACTGTCTCATAAATGAGGAAGTTATTTGTAACGTAGTAAAAATTATTTGAGATATATTATAGTTACTGTGCTACACTAATTGCAATCGTTTTGAAAATTTTATTATGTCCACAAAGTTACATGATTTTATTATTTCTTTGGTCTAGTAAATTAATAAAATGTTACGTTTTTGTAGACAATTTGGTACGAAGGCAATTTTTGAAGCAATACTGATATCGAAAAAAATCACCGAAGCTCATCAGAAATACATAAAATTACACTGTGCTAAATCGAGGAACAACCCCTCTGTGTAAAGTTTAGCGCTTGTTTTATCCGTGAAATTATACCAATTTAAACGCGGAAAAGTCGAAGGTCGCTCATCTAAACAATGGTTATGAAATGAAAAAAAGCCGGCGAACTCTTGGCCTCGTTGCAGTGCTCTTGAATCTTTATTACGCTCACATCGCTTATAGTATATAAGGATAAAGTCGGAGGACTGTGCAGTTCAGTTGAGTAATTCATTTTTCCGAGGGATTATCGACAGATTAGGGCGTACCACTATTGTTTGCTCAAGAAACCGCTCCGTTAATTCCGATAATTGGCTCGGGAATTTCTTTGTAGGCGCACTTGAATTTGATCGAAGTGTTGACAATCGTTATTAAAAAATGCCACCGCAGATTGCCACTGTCGACGACGATTTGAATCGTCTACTAAAAGAAAAATTCACCAGTGAGTTTCGCACGGGTTACATCAATGTCGATGGCGTTTGTTTACCAGAATATTATGCGGAATTTGCCGATGCCATTGAAAACATGCAAGTTTACGATGACGATATTTGGGTCTGCAGTTTTCCAAAAACTGGTAAATATTAGCGTATAATTCTTTTCTTCGATTCGGATACTAAACGACTTTACTTGAGATTAATAGGGACCACTTGGACGCAAGAGATGGTGTGGTGCATCGCTAATAATTTGGACTTTGAAGGAGCGAAAATTGTTTTGTCCGAGCGTTTTCCATTTCTCGAGTACGTATATTAATGAAATGATAATTGCTATATCGTCCCATTCACAAATTCGCAAAACGATTTATCGGCCAATTTCAGTGGATACGGGTTCGATGCGATCAGGCATAAACTTTTTTTAACGCGATATCCCACTGCAAAATTTTTAATTAACAAAGTTGAGTGAGAATTTTTTTCAAATTAATATGCTCGTCTTATCGAAAGAAACTCTAACTTATATTGTATTTCTTTTCGCGTTCAATGTTTTATTCCATACTGCACAAGTAAAAAAGTATCGACGTTCACGTATTTTTACATGAATTTCATTAGAAGCTATTTAAACAGCTTAAAATAACTTTACTGTGTACTTATATTTCTTTTCAAATTCACATGAAGTAAATACGAAACAAACAGCGGATACATCCATCAGAAACAATTGAAAAATTACAGCCATTCGCCACTGTTCGACTACCGCACGATAATCCCTCGCACACCGGGTCTCGAACTACTACCGGAATTGACGGCCAACAGCGTCGAGCACATCAACAAGTTAGCGAGACCGCGTTTCATCAAAACTCACCTGCCGTTCAACCTGTTGCCACGTCAAATCCGAACAGCGGAGAAACAGCCGAAGATCGTTTACGTGGCGCGGAACGCCAAGGACACCTGCATCTCCTACTTCCACCATTGCAAGCTGCTCGAGGGCTACCGCGGCGACTTCCTCGAGTTCTGCAGTCTGTTTCTCGGCGGCAAACGTGAGTTATCCGTCGAGTCCTCGATCAAATTCCATCGCCTTACTCGACAATTCGACTCGCTTCAGTTTGCTTCGGCCCGTTCTGGAATCACGTGCTGGCTTACTGGTCAGAGCGACAGCGGGACAATTTTCTCTTCATCAAGTACGAGGACATGAAACACGTACGCTGATAATTTACTTTGAAAACTGTTGTCGCTGTCAAGTCGTTCAACTTGATTTCCTTTTTTAAGGATCTGAGAGCCGTGATAAAACGAGTCGCCGATTTCTTAGGGAAGTCGTTGGCGCCATGCGAAATAGACATTTTAAAGAGACACCTGAGCTTCGAGAGCATGAAGGCGAACCCGGCCGTCAATTACGAGGAAGTCGTGGAGCTAAACAAGAAATACAAACTGATCGAGACGGATGGACAGTTCATGAGAAGCGGACAGCTAAATCAATGGAAGGGAACGATGTCGGACGACGTCATCGCAAAATTCGACAGCTGGACGGCTAAGAATTTGAAGTCCAGTGGGCTTCGTTTGTAGATTCTGTGTCGAATTCTTTTGCTAAAATTCATTATCTGTTTTAGTTTTAATCTTTTGTCAAATAAACGATAAATGTCTTTACAATGTTGCAAGCACTGCTGATACGTTGACCGGTGTGCATTTCACACGATGAAAACCGCATTTTTTCGTCGCGGTATAGCGAACGTCAATAGACCTGTCGACGAGGCGAGAAAGTTCGACCGGTTCGACCATTGCCGAGCTGTCAAAGTCTGCAGCTAAAAATTGCTCGCCAAGGCTTAGAACGCAGAACACTTGCCGTTGGTGTTGCCCAACCGTTGCAGCTTTCAGTGCGACCAATAAAGACATCACTGACTGCCAAACAGCGAAGCGCTATGTAAAACTTATGAATAAGTCTGCACTTGGTTTCTTTACAATGAAGCGAAGGCTTTGTACACTGTACCTGCAAAAGGTTGCGCAATGGTTTGGAAAACGAAGGAACTTTTCAGGAACGTCATCGTGTCGAATTTGACATTGACGAGCAACGCAACGCGCGAGTTTCGCACACCGAAGGCGCCTTGCGCAAAGTGCGATCCAACGAGCATCAGTGGAAGCTATAGCCTACCGTACAGCGACGAATCGCTGTCATATCGATCAGACTCGTTGCGCGTCGCTATCTCGCTGGCACGTGTGTGCACGTATGCGCGAGTGTGCCTGCACTTGGCAATGGCTTTGACGGCATTCGCTGGAAGCGCTCGCACGCGCGCTGATCGCTGATCCGCCGCCGAAATCGATCGGCAGAGGTGTTGCCGAGAGATGATCGGCAACGCGAGGCCGTGGAGAGCGCGGCGGCTGGTGGCGCGCAGGTGCCGGAACGACGAGAGCCGCGCCGCCGCCTCCCCCCCGCCGGTTCGGCGAGGCAATGGGCTGGCCGAGGAGCCCCCTTCATTAAAGTCTCGCTCAGTCGGGCAGTGGTGTGTAGTCGGCGCTTGGCGTTCGCCGGGAGGCGAGCGGCGGCCCAATCGAAGACAGAGCTGCGCGCGTAGGCTGCACGCAGCCGGCACTCCGGCCCGCGACCGAGCAGCAGCGGCAGCGGCGACGACGATGCGATGGCCGACGCGAGCGCAAATCGCTCCGCTGGAAGGTCAGTTTCGCCTTCGCTCGCGGATCTGCGACTGCCGGCCCCGACGGCCGAATGCGCCTCGTGTTTACTTTGCATTAATCGATACTTAACGTTCGCCGCACGCCACCCAGTGCACTGACTTTTTGAACGAGGCTTCTCCTGCACCTCCCAATCTCTCTCCCGCTCTTCTCTCTCTCTCCTCTACACGCGCAAATGGCAAAACATTCACTCGCAAGCACAGTTGGTATACGTTCCTTTCGTCTGGTCAGATACCAAGTGCTTGCGCTTGCAATGTCGCCTGTGCAACTACATTTACTTTCCCAACAAATTAAAGTTAAAGCCAAAGTAAGATGAGCAACGATCTAAGGAGACTTGCACAATGTCTTTAGCTATTGAAATAGTTAATTATTCATCGTCGCTTCACAAAGTTGTACGTATGAATGCCGATGGTCACATATCACCTCGAGCCTGTGCAAAATTCATCCACAGAGTTGGTTAAAATTAAAGCTGCCAATCGAACCCAGCAGTTGCCCAAGCCCAAAATGCAAATTGAAACCATATAGATAAACATTATTTGCCACTTGATACTGATTGGCAATAACTTGTTCTTGTAGCCCCAGTTCAAAGAAGGGATCGATTCTCCAATAACACGTGTTGCATGTTGCTTTGTAGATTAAATAACGTTGTTTCTTACCATCTAGTTATTCTGCTATAGTTAATTAAATAAATCACTGCGTAAGGGCATATTTGTCTTTAGCTTGAGTGCATTCATATTTTTCCTTGTCATTGCAGTGTCATCTTTTTTTACTTCACTTTACTCATCTACGAATTATTATTTTAAAACAAACATAGATAACTGCTAGTATTTAGGTATGTATAACTAATGATTGACAAGCTGTTATACATTTATTGCTAAACAATTTATTGTTATACATTGTTATTATTGCATTACAACAATAACAAATTATTAATCAGCATTAGTCAAATTGAATGAAAGATTATCCGGGATTAGTAATTATAATTTAGATCGAATAAATTGTACTTTAATATCGCCTTTTTTTATAACACTAAATTATATATAATTGACGGCAATAAAGTGCAAAGATCAAAAAGATTAAAAACCGCAACAACAAAAAATTGGAGATGCCGGGGATCGAACCCGGGACCTTTCACATGCAAAGCGAACGCTCTACCACTGAGCTACATCCCCGAGCGTTTTTCACAACTTTATACGCCATTCTGAGCTACCAACCCGCCAATTTCAAATATTTAAGTTATTATTAACTTTTGTTTCGTTCTGAATTACATTGAATATCAACCATTTAAGTTAGAATTGCATGGACATGTCCTTAATGTTACCAACGATGTGGTAATTGCGTTAAAATAATCCTAATTTATTTAAAAACAGTATTAAAAAATTATATAATTCATGAAAATAATAAAATCAATAGCAACATGGAATAAGTTTGAAAATATTCGTTTAGTAGCAAATTATAATTAAAGTCGCTTAGAATATGTGGTTTGATCTAACATAGTTTTGTATATATAATGTCTAAAGCTAAAATCAAAAGATTAAATACAATTGTAATTTTGAATCTTCCACACATTTGTAAGATAACAAAAAATGTCTTTATTTGCGAGAAAAAACTATCCTCTGCATAGCATTGATCAATCATACTGAGAACACACAGAAATGTGTGATAGATTTGTCGAACAATATTGCAACTACGTTCCTGACAGTTCACGTTTAAAAGAGTTTTCGTGCGGAAAAGAGTAGCAGTTATCGGTGATCTGATAAGAAGCGAATTGGCTTCGGTACAAGAGAAACATAGCTCATAAATTCGTGACAAAAGAAGTAGGACATAGCTCGACGTAAAGTAGTGAGCAGAGTTTTTTAGGCTGCCTCGTCATTCAATTCGGTGCAATGGTCAGTTTCACTCTCTGATCGCTCCTCAAAAATTATCCACGCCTTCGATTTTCACGCGTGCTTCCGAGCTTTCTACTTGATGATCTGTAAGTTCAGAGTAAATTAGTGTTCGACGATCGACATAAGCGTGTCCGTGTCGATCGCGAGTACCTATAATAATACTGTTGTGCGTCCAATCAATCGTAGGCATCTGCTTTATCGACGCTGAGTTGTGAACCAACTTTTGCCTCCAATTGTTATTAGTTGTTTGGTAATTGACAGGAAATTTAACATAGTATAGTTTAGTACTATGTTGCATAGTTTAGCTATCGTTCTTATCAATAAAATCGAACAAGTCCGTTCAAGGAGCAGCACTAATGAAATGGATCTGCACTATGATTATTTTCATTATCCACTTGCGAGTCGAAGCTTCCGACTGAAACGATCATTTGTTTAGGAGAAGCAAGTGGAGCGAGTAAACTTACCTGTAAATGTCCAATTAATAGCTACGAGGCCGCGCTGCAGGCTCCCGCTCAGCCTGAATTTGGAAACGATCGACGTAATATCTCAGCTCGGACTCGTTTACGTCGATTGTCGAAAAAGGCACAGTCTCGGCGGCGGAAACGCACTCGAGATTGAGGGCTGTAACTCGAGCCCAAACCTGTGCGCCAGCAATACCGGAAATTAAAAGCTGCAGATCTTGCGGATCGCTGGATCGAATATTCAGCGGCGCCCAAGCTTTTCCCCGCGAAATATCCAGCGAGCAGCGAAGAAAGCTCGCGCGTGACCCTAATCGCCTTAATTATTGTCGGAGGCGTCGCCGCTGAGATTCCCATCATCGCCCGTGCCTCTTTTGCTTTTCTTTCCGTTCGGCGCTGGGTGCGCCGCGGGCGCGAGCTTTCGTTAGGCCATCTAATTTATTTGCGCGGATGGACGAGCGCGCAGACACCTAATTTTCCGATTCGACGCGGCCTCGTAAAATTGTCGATCCGAGCAGCGGAGTTCCGGCCTTAGGCAGCGCCGCGACGTAACTCTGTCTTACGGCTCTGATGCGCTTCGCTCGTGCACCGCTGGAAACGGCCCCATTTTTCCGTTCGCCCAAATGCCGTTCTATCTACATTAGGTACCGGTATTTTCAAATGTTTCGATTGCATGAGATGCAATTATGCAGTTTTAAGCAACGTTTAGCTTTGAATCAAGTAAAATCTCCGTTAATAAAAATGCTTTTGTCATTGAATCAATCGATCCTTCACCAAGAACTTGCAATATTCAACACTTTTCAAAGTCTTAAACAATTAATAATACATCAGCGTATCACGTTTTGTAACATTTCGATTGCAACTGTTAGCAGGCGCACCATGGCGCTTTGCTTCATATTGTTGTTGCGGAAGACATCCGTAGAATTTAATCTTCCGATTAAATAATGCAGACACGTTTGTACGCGCGGTAGTTCTTAAAAACAGGAGCTCAGGCCTGCAGTAGCTACTTTGAAGCTACCATTGAAGCAAAAATTTACGTCTCACTCTGTTCGTATGATAATACAAACATTCAGCGGAAAGAAAGCAAACAGCATAACAATGAGCGCTGCACTTCGTACAACGTGCATCGTAAAAAGAAAGCGACCGCAGAAAATCTGTTGATGCCGTGGCAGTTCACTCAACTATAATCACAGCGTTACTCCGCAAAAAAAAAAAAAAAAAAAAGAAAAGAAAAAAAATCAACCAGAGCGACACTTGCAATTTAAACATAAAATTGGTAGTGCACGCGCAGTGTAAAACAGAGAAAATGCAAATTACTCAATCGTCCCCGCTTCCCTCCCAACGCAAACTTGCCGACTTGCCGAAGGCTTGGAAAGTAAAGGTCTGGAGAAAAAAACCGTGCGAGCACGTCGCAAGCTACAGCGTCTTTAAGAGCAAGCAGTGGAAAAATGCGCACGCGAGTTAGGAAAAGTTGCTTCTTATAGCCGAGGGATGATTCTTATGCAGAGTACTTGTCTTAAATTTTTTTTTTCTGTTTTGTCGTACTCGGACAGACGAAGTGAATTTGTGCGAGAAAACTTTTGCCGATTCCATTCCTTGATTTCTCTTCTTACTTTTTGCCATCTGCAATCTGAAACTGCGCGTAATAACTTTATGATCGAATCGGTTCGAAGGTCCAAAGGAACGATGACTTTTAAACTACAGTTAATAATTGGACGAGAAAACAATCGAGTGCTTGAAAAAAGAACGAAAACGGCGAAAATCCGTGGTGCTAACGACCGAACACGGGCACAGCACGAAAGTTGAAAGTGTATTGCAAGTGGTTGTGAGCGATATATAAGAAAGGGGAAGTTGGCGTGCGGCGGGCGCGATCCGTGTCGTAGAAATGCGTCAGATTGAATCGGGCCGGCGCGCGGCGGTATGTGTTTGTGCGGGGGGGAAGGGGGTGCGGCGGTACGAAAAAAATACACGGCGAAAGGCTCGTGAACGTAAGGTGGTCGTGGCGTTGCGTGGTGTGCGTGAGGGCCATTTATTCGCTCTCATGCAAATCGCGCGGCGCCATTGGACCGTAACTAGGTCACCGGGTCACTACACCCCACGATTCCTTTGTGTTTTCACATACCCTGTACACACAAGCAGACCGTTCGGATGCCCCTTCGAATTGTCCGAATCGCCGCTTAATTTGCGATAAGTTGGCGCTTCCTCGGCCATTACGTCCCACGTGAAAATGTCATCGGAGCAGTATCATCAGTTATTGCCGTCGCGAATGACATTGTCACGGTAGACGTAATATAATATAATATCGGTAGACGAAAGAGTAGCACGACTGCCAAGTGTGAGTGTAAAATCAATGAGAGCAACAAACACATACGTAGCGGCGTAACTAAACTAAAATTCAGTATCAAGGAGAAGCCTCGGTAACAGTCAAGCAGCACAACGCAAGTGCATTCTCATTGTTCGCAGCGTCACCTTGCTCACCTACCAAGGATACGTAATCTACACACAGCCGTCACCGTAAACCCATACAGCTTGGGCAAAGTTACGTTGCGTCGAAAGGCAACTTTGCGCGTCTGTACGATCGATGCGAGAAATTTTACGTGCTCGATTTTTATATACCGATGCGCCTCTGCCTCGCTTTTTCACAGTTTTAATTAAGCTAATGGCTCGTATCGACCGCAGCACTAACGTGTCTTTTCGTCGTGTCTGCCTTCTCCAACTCTCGCTCTGGCAGTCTTGGATTTCACGCGAACTGTACAGATTTGAATATCACTGATAACAGATCGCTCCGAAAATTCTTCTATATTTAGATCTTTAATAATATAAATACCAAGTTATTCCAGTAACAAGCCTTTTTCAGGCGGCTTTCGAATGCTCGTTTTCTTAAAATACCACTATTTTCGAGGATTGTGAAAAATATTGCCTTCGCGTTCAATAAAAAAACAAATTGTTACAACTTTGAAGAATATTGCCGTGTTATGATCGATATTTTATAAAACAAAAACGTAATAAATTAATTTACGAAGTTAAAACTGAAGTTTAGCAGACCTTTTTGTTAAAATGTGATTTTGTCAAAATATAAAAAAAGACGCAAACGCTAAACTTAACAACTAACAATGTAATACGCTCTTTTTATTTGACGTCTCAAACAAATCTGGCAAGTCCAGCCTGAAGTCGGAAAGAAAAACAAAGGTGAGAGCAAACAAAAGTGAACAAACACACACGAGAACATAGTTGGAACGAACTACTTTAATAAAACACGCTTGTGCTTAGTTGTTTTCGCGTAATCCAGAACATCGGCTTGTCGCTCGTAGGTCTGTCTCGCTAAACTTCCTTCCGCTCGGTTGAAGCTGCATTGTTCCGTAAAATTAAGGCAAGTGCATCGAAGGCGATCTACTAATCGATCGGATGGCTGAACAGTCATGAGCAGTAGTAACAACATTAGCTCAAATATCAGCTACTGAATGCGTGAGCACCTCCGCGCGATCGTTCTGTCATCTTGAAAGCCAACCACTCCAAAGAGTGGAAAAAGCCATCGGCATCCGTCGACCGTAATAAAAAAAATGCCGTAATAAAAGCGCACCCGAATAAAAAGCTCTTGTACTCGGGGCGCATATAACATTTTGGGCGCGTGTCGCAAGTAGGTCTCCTGAATAAATAAGTCGGTGTGCCGATAAGATCGGCCTGGGGATGGGGTGGAGGGGGAGAGGGGAGTCACAACGTCCAATCGGCTAAAGAGGTTAATTGATATTAGAGCGCCGATACTGGCTAATCTCGGAACGTAAGTCAAGATTTCCAGCGCGGTCGCGGGCGAGAGAGCCGTGCGTATATAGCCGTATATCTCGTATACGTGCTTGGCTATGCTAATCCGCGGCTATGGCGCCTCGTGATTTCCATTCATATATTTTTGCGCGCGCCCCATCGCCGACAGCCGCGGTCGCGCGCTCGAATCGCTCTTACAAGGGAACATCGCGTTGGCTTTAATCGCTCTCGACGGCCCGTGGCGTCGATTATCTCACCGCGCGCGAGATTGAATTTGACGCGCGAATGAGATTTCGATCGGACGTAATAGGCCTACGCGAGCTTGCCAAAAGCATTCTCAGCGGCTTCGAGGCTGCGGAGAAAAATCAAGGACGGAAGCCCAATCGAGACTGCGAAAAAGGAAAAGAAAACAAAACTTGGCAGCGGTGGGATTCGAACCCACGCCTCCGAAGAGACTGGTGCCTTAAACCAGCGCCTTAGACCGCTCGGCCACGCTACCTTCGCGCTCGTTCGATCTTAGATGTGGAGAACCTCCCAACGCCCGCTGTAGCGCGATGACGCTTCTCCGCCGCTGATGTTTTCAACGATGCTCACTTGTGTCTCACCGTCGCAGAGATCAAACGCAGCTTACGTATACGTCTGATGCCGATTAACGCGAGAATTTGCTTTTGACTCGTCAATCTGTTCAAATCTACGTAAATGATAATTTATACGGTTTGCGCGCGAAAGTCTGCAAAAAAAAAAAAATCGCTTCCACAATTGCCTCGTGTTAACTGGATAATTTTGATATTTCACAATTGTACTGCATTACTTTTATCGAGCTGATCGCGAGAAAGTCGCGTCGTCATTCCGTTCATTATTCGTAACGCGCGAATGCGTCAACGCCCCCGCAAGTAAAATCTCGAGCGGGGGCGCGCGTAAATCAAAGTCAGGCAGTTAGTTCGCTCGCGAAATTTCGGCAAAAGTTTGAAGCTCTCGTAAACGGATATGCTTAATATTCGTGCGCCAATTATGTCTGCAATGCGCCCGTGCTTTTCAAGAGGAATTCGAAAAGGAATCCGCGAGTGACGTGTGGACATCGACAAAACACACCTATACGCCGAGGGGTAAGCGAGCGTGTGGCGACGTCGTTCGTGCAGCGATACGCGCTAATAGACTCGGCGAGCGATCGCGGCTGATATATAAAAGCTCGCGGTCCATCGCACTGGCTGGTACGGGAGCGCCGGAAACGTCTTTTGTATCTATAAGGAACACGAAAAAAAACAGGAGGCTCTCGATGAGCGGCTCGTCCTTTTGTCATCCCGAGCACGAGACTCGTGCAACCGACTCGTTTGTCACGTTATCATGCCATACGACTATGATCCTCTGCGCGCAGTCAGTGCACGATATTGCTTTTAGTTTTGTTCTCTCGCTCGCGGCAGCAGGTTCAGATTTGCTCTTCTTTTTTTTCCTCTAGACTGCGCACGGATGGAGAACGTTTTGTTCGTAGTGGATCGATGGGCTGATAGGATTAACGGATACGGGAGGTACTTCCCGTACACGTATCAGAATAGGTTTCATGAAATATTGGGCTGTAAAAGGTGCAACAGCGCGGCGTTCGAATGCATCGGATTGACGTTCAGGCAAGTTTTGTCGATGATGCTTTTCTTACAGTCCCATCTTGGAAGATCGTCGCTGCATCGTGCGGTCAATATTGGCAATCGGCAGCACTGGTTTAGTAATGTCAAATGCGCCTTAGACCTCGGCGATAAACGCTCCGTAGACGTATAAGTTTTTGTCGCGCACCGACACTCGGGTACATCTCTCGTTTGGCGATAAAGGCGCTAAGAAGGCGTCGAGCGTGTAGAAATGAAAAGTGCAGCGAGCGCTCCACAGGGGCGCAAGCTGCATTCGCACAACCCCAATGGCAACGAGGCCGGGTCGAATTAAGTGCAATCGAATGCAAAAGCCATCCGGCGCGTTTATGCTCGCGCTGGGCCGCGCGAGGCTTGAAAAAGAGGAGAAAAGGCAAAGGCCCTCGCGCGCGCATAAATCGCCGATAAACACCGTAATTCTTTCGGAGCGAGAAGGCGCGAGGAGGATCGATGCGTGCTCGTCCCGTGCGTTCTCCGTGGCTCGGCGATGTGCACACGGGCTCTTCCCTCGCACGGGCAGCCGTGTGCACCGAGGGAGCTTGCGAGCCGCTTTCCGACGCGGAGGATTTTTAGTTGGCCGCGAGCGCTCGCAACCGGCACAACGCGCGTGCTCGCTGCCTGCAAAGTGAACGCTTGGCTGTCGGCACGGCGGTCTAGAGCTCATCACTCTTGTGAGTCGTTTGGGCTATCCATCTTTACAGGCTTGTCAATTGCGCTTTTACCCCTTTCACGTATTTTTATTTCATTCGTGTTTAGCTCACTTCACTCGACGATTCGTTCTTTTTGTCCCTCTAAGCTAAGTTCTGCTGCTAGTTTTTCTTACTACAAGTAACAATCTATTTTTAATATTTATGTAATTCATTGAATATTTTGGCTTCGTTTGTTACAACCGATTGAATGTTGAAGGCAGTCGATGAATATGTTCAGTATTTGGTGCGTGACTGTTACATTTATGAAATAACCTTACAAATTTTAGCTAATGAACACGAGTACAAGCTATTTGTTACAAGTACATACGTTTCTTCATCAAATATACAGTAAACTGGAATATTAAAAAACCCGTCACGAACGAAAATATTAAATTGAAAACGGAATGAAAATTTTTGAAATAAATACTGATATAGATAAGGATGACAGATATTAATATGTATTACGCTAACAATTTTTTTTAACGTAATAAAAATTGTATCAAAGTAAAATTTGTCGAAATTTTCGGATAAATGGTAAAGAACATAACTGCCCGGTCGAAATGTAAAAATGACACGTGAAACACAATGAGAACTAAAATGAAACGCTTGAACTTGGCAAAGTAAATTTGGTGCTGTCAAAATTAGAAAAGCAAAATGAAAGGATAAACATTGAAATAAAAGAAAAGCGTGTAAAATGACGAACTGCTGGTTGGTTTGGACGAAGAAGGAGGCGGCACAGAGCCTCTTCGGACAGCGAGCTAGCGGAGGGAGATGCCGGTGGTCGCTGGCAACAAAAATGGCTCCTGCACGAGGGCCTGGACGTGGACCAGCTAGCGCGCTACCGGCGCAGGAAGGTGCAGGGTCAGCCGCGCGACCACCTCGGCTGCAATGCCGAGCGCGAGCCTGACGAGGACGACGACGAGGACGAGGAGGACGCGCGCAAGCGGCTGGTCACCGAGTACAGGCTCGCCTTCCGCGGCAGCAGCGACGACGTCTTCCACGCGAGCAGCGAGGCACGGACCCCCCCGTCGCCGACGCGGCCCAGGCGCGACCGGGCTCCCTGCGGCGACAGCGACAAGGCCCAGAACGGGACCGCGATGGACTTGGCGGCGGACGTCGCGAGGAGGCCGGCGCCCGTGAGAAGGTGCAGCACCGCAACGGTGCAAGCGGCGAACCGGCACTCAACGGCTATTGTCCCTACCGTTGCAGACCGACCGCGCTGCGCAACGAGGGCGACTTCAGCTCGCGAACCGAGTACTCGGCCTTTTGCGCCTATCCGGGCCTGCACCGCTCGGAGTTGCGACGCCGCGGCACGTCGCTGCGCATGGAAGGCGAGTTCGACTCGCGAACCGAGAAGAACGACAAGTTCCTCGACTGGCCAGCCGAATTTCGCCGGCGACCCGAGCCGGCACGACTGCCCGCCAATTTGAGGTTGGAGGGCGAGCTGGAGACGAGCACCGAGTGCCACGAAAAGTACGTGCCGTTCGTCGGCGCTAGGAGGCCCGAAATTCTACGCCAGTCGGCGCACTTGAGACTCGAAGGTGATTCCAGCTGGACCCCCGAATATACCGATGTCTTCCGCGAGTACAACTTCGTTGGTGAGTTTTTCCAAAGACTTTTTTTAGGGCTTCCGTCGTTTGATCGGACTTTTAGTTTTGCTTTCTTCGTAAGAGTACTTTTGGACTTCGCGACTCATCTTGTCATTTCTTTTCGACGGCAATCAAATTCTAAATATGTACAAAAATGTTTTCTACATTAAACAATGCATTTTTGCGTTGCACAAGCGTAGATATTATTGACAAATCAAACTCAAAGGGTAATAATTTTATTATATAGATTCTTAATGCAATTCATCGCTTGCTTTTTCGATCGAACTAAACTTACCCGAGAATGCTGCTTCAAAGCCTTCGATTTGCAAATGAATGAATATTGTTATTTGACCGTTTTTTTTTAATTCCACCACCGATTAAATATTCATTGAAAATTCTCAGGAAAATCTTTTGTGACGTGTTCCAGAGCGCCAGCATCCTAAAATTCCGGAGGCAAATTTAAAGCCAGGTGGTGGATTTTACGAAAAGACCGAGGCGAAAGAGTTTTTCGCAAATCCGCGCGACAAGGAAGCCGAGTTGATGACTGAGCTTGCGAAAGGCGCTCAAGAGGAAGAAGAACGGAAGAAAAGAGAAGAGCACGAGGAGAAAAATCGCGCGAAACAAGAGGAAGAGATGAAACTATTAGTGTCTAAGTTGGAAGGTTTGCATGGTCCGCCTCTGGAGGTTCCGGAATACAAAGACGCTTATAAGGTATGCGATCAGAAACACATTGCGTTGCTTTAATCTTCTGAAAATAAGCTACACGCATCTATTATTATTTATTTATTTATTTTTTTTTTCACGAACAATCTGTCGTTGACTCTAAGATTTGTCGCAACAAATGCGAGTTGAAAACGTATTCTGACAGGGCAGAAAGGAACGTGAAAACAATATACACATATATCGATCGACATAACGGCAATTGCAGGACTTTCCACGAGAACGGCCGAAGCTTGCAAAACCGGAAGATGAAATAGGCCGAGCGGATGGTTCGAAAGTTCCGAGCGCAACAGCAAGTCCAAGGCGCTTCAAAACGAAAATCGATCAGGATCCAGAGTACAAATCCATCTATCTTGATTCAAGTCGCGAACGTCCTGTCTTTCATCGGCCGCCACTGTCGCTACGGTCGTCCAGCCGCAGCAGCTTTGCCAGAGAAAGAAGGGACTCGAGGCGATCGGATATTCAACCTGCGCTCAGTGAGATTAGGTCGCAATACGTGAGCTATGGTCAGGTGCCGAGGACAGAGACCATGAGAATGCCGGCTAATCTTAGGTGAGATTTATGCGAGACATTATTGTAGTCGACAGTCAATTCGCGATTCGAAATTCTTTCAACAAAACTTATTTTGGCAAGAGTTTCACGATGCTATCGGAAGAAAATGAAACAAATAATATTTTTGAATCTTGCGAGCTTATGCGAGAATTAAAAAATTTCACTTGAACGAAAGCTGTCGAACGATTATACAAATTATTTCCGACAAACGAGTGAAAACTTGGAACTCTGCTAGCTTCGCAAGGTTCAAGCGTCGAATATCATTAGAGCATATCTACACGGCGAGCCCTAAAATCAGTCCTATCGCCCGCGTGCGCACGTTCTATTCGAAGGCTCGAAGGTAATATGGACCTGGAACCGGAGTATCGCAACGCTTACCGTGACCACCACCAGCCACGTCGACGCAGTCGAGAGCGAAGTCTCAGCGAATCCAGACGCAACAATAACCATTGGCTAGACAACGATAATGGCGAATGTTTCGGCACGGTCAACGCTGCCGAAGACCAAGATGCGTTCCAGGTGCTGCATACGCGGGTCCACGAGGAGAGCGTTGTTGGCAAACCACCACCTGGGAACCGAAGGTCATTTTTCTTATAGACTTTTATTTCGATAAGTAGACTTATTCCACGGAATTTTAACCACACTGTCGAAGAAATTCATTGCTGAGTTCGATTTCAATTGGACAACTTGACGAAACTGCAAACTGCGAAATTATCGATCATTTAATCGAAAGGAGTAATTATTTTTCCACGTGCATTAGATCCCACACGCTACACGAAAAAACATCAGAAATTGTAATACTGCGCAAAACAGCAATACGTCCAGGCAATTGAACAAACTTCCGAAAAGATCTTTGAATGGAGATTGAGATTCGTGAGTCTACGTTCCTGACCTCCGCTAACACCGGGTGCTTTCAACTGGTTTCCGTGGTGTAGTGGTTATCACATCCGCCTAACACGCGGAAGGTCCCCGGTTCGATCCCGGGCGGAAACATTTTTTTTTATTTTTTCGCTATCGGTTCATTTGTGCTTTTACCTCGCAACGAACATAGCATCGACTCCTATCAACTCATCATAAAGTTAATTTACGCGAAAACATTTTATTACGCAATCGGTACTCTCATTATGCATGAATAACGAAAGAACTGTAGTATATGCATTTTACCAAGAATATATTGGCTAACTGGATTATGCGACTATTCAAATGTCAGACGCGCGTGATACTGGCGATTATTTGTCATTATTCATTATTTGAGAAAATGAAAATCTTATAGGTACGAAACAGCCGATTGAAATAACGACGAAAGTTAGATAAGCTCGGCACGCTCTCGTTCAAAGAAATAAATCGCAAGTGGCTCTCTTTCTCCAAAGACCAGCTGGAATTTGCATAAATTTGAATATGTAGAGCGCACTATAAACCGATGTACAACTTTATCATCGATTAGAGGGACGAGGAAAAGTGGCAGCACCGATGGCAAAGAGCGACAAGCAATGTGACGATCGCGCAAAGCTGATGATTGTTAAAAATAAAAACATTACAGGACTTCGAGGTGCTCGGTGGCACGCGGTTCGCTGCAGCCGGACGTTAGCCTGACGAGCGATCGATTGCCGCAGCTACGCAACCGCTCGCCGAGTCCTTCGTACCGCCTTCAGGTTAGCAATGTCGACGAGGAACCTCGCGGCTTTGGCCATCGGCTCAGACCTTCGCCTAGTCAGAGTTTACTCGTCCATACGTCCGATCACCGTCGCAGCCCCTCGCCCATTCAAGCGGTAAGATCTAATTGCGAAATTTCATCCTAAGAACGTTAACTCTAAGGGCTTTTTATCTCAACAATCCCGCCGGTGGGGCTAGCCAGTCTTCTTTTCATTACGTACAAATTTTTCATTTTCCAAATTTTTTCATAATCTAAGGTACTAGACATAAATCATGTCTCCTGATGATATCTCTTCTTCAGTCATTGAAGACTTAATGAAATGTTGCCAAAAGTAATTAATGAAATAGTACATTAGCTAACTAGTACGGGCGTAAGTAGATTGTTGTCTCGTGTGAGTTTGCTAGGAAAAGCACACGAAACGAAAATCTCTTTCCCAAGCACGTTAGCTGCGGTATTTTTCAAGACGACGCGTGGAATGCACGAATTTCCGCACGGCGCGTTGAAAAGAAGAATAAACAATGATTTGCTTTCGAGGGAGAACAATTACACGGCAATTGATCATTCGGATCTAAAACATTTGACGAAAACTTTTTGCCAAAAAACAGCCTGCCGAGCGCGCATACTCGCCAAGTTTCGCCCGAGAAAGTCCGAGCGTTCGATTGCAGCAGCAGCAATCATTCGTCGTGCTCGACAATCGCGATGACGACAATGAACCACCGAGGCGACGAAGAACCGATCACAACTTTAATCCTCGAGAAAGTCTGGCAAGCATCAGGACTAGCAATAGACACACAACGAGGCCGCGAAACAAGACGCCACCGAATTGGATGCCACCTTGGTACGATAGCAGTACAAGCACGATTTAAAGCGTTCGACAAGTGAAGTTGGCCGATGCCTTTCACGTAGTTGGAATGTTTTTCTCTAATTGAGGCGATGTAGCAAAACGTATGTAGGGCATCAAAGCTCGCTGCCGATAGATGCATTATAGATAAATCATTTGTTTTTCCATCGAAACAAAGTTTATCTAAGGTTCTGATAAATGAATTGTTCACGATCGAGAACCGTTGCGTTCGTTTATTTACTGTTGTTAAACATTTGAATATTGTTTTGCTCTGAGATTTATATCCGAGAAATAGTTACTTACGAACTAGTCATAGAATAGTTAACCATTTTATATTGTTGTTAAGAGATCTTATTTTTATCCACATTAAACTTTTTATATATATTACCCGCTTTTGATTGTTTCGAGTGTTGGTGTGGCAGAATAGTGTTCAAATTTCATTCTTTCCACTCGATTCTATAATATGTAAATAATAGGAGTATCAATGCCTTTATGTGTACAATGGGAACGTTGAAATAACAATAAATTATGAAAAATATGTAAGATTATGTATCTGCCAATGCAAACATTTTCGTAATAACGCAATATTCAGAAAAATTTAATATTCGTATACAAATACATTTAATAAGAAGCATACAACACGACGAATGTAGTTACTGCCGACTGATATATACTATTATCGATTAGTTGTAGTTGCCGAAAAATTCTTCAAAATAGTTCTTCCATACATATTTTTATCGAAATATTGGATAACTAAATTTTATTATACACAGATATTTTTCAACGATTGGCATTAGAACAATTAAATGTACGGTGTGGTTCGTTCGCGTGAAAAATTTTGTTTTTCTACTTATCATAAGTCCAATTAAAATTTCCTTTATAATATTGAAAAATGCATAATACGCATATGATCATGTTACTAAATTTGTATCGAAATTTAATACTAAATGCTATATGTAAAAGTAACTGTAAAATAATTTTGTAGAGAACTTAGACGAATAAAGGTAAAATATTATTACTCTTTAAAAAATTATCCTCTTACTACCGATCAATATCTGGCGAAAGAACTAAAATATTTTCAGTAGACTATTAACGAGTATTTAGACCGAACATTGCTCAAAGCTGGACGCCCCACTTTGACACGGCGCAAGCCTAATAAAGTCAACTGCCCAGTGCCCGATGTTGGCATATCGGCGTCTCTGATAGAGACCCACCGCCATCTAGAAAGAAAGAAAGCAAACTGCCTGCTGTCCCGATCATCTCGAGCTCGAGCCGCTCGTACGTTCCGGATTGTTGGTTATATCCCAGTATTCCACGTGCGACAGCCATCCCCAAGTCATTTTTACCTTTTTGTCGGTTTAACACACCGCCACGTATTCGAGCGATTTTTATTATTTTTGTCGCACGAAAATCAGTATTGTTGTTTGAAAAATAAAAATATCATGGTAGACCCACAAACAAATACGACTGATGGGGATCCTGCAGCTCCACCAAAAACCGCTAAACAATTGGAAAAAGAAAAGCAGAAACTTGCAAAATTAGAAAAGTTCAAGCAGAAGCAGGAGAAGAAAAATGCTACTGCTGGTACTGAAGTTAAAGAAAAGACAGAGGTATGTTTTATTGTTAGAAGTAGCGAACTTTCTAATTGGTAAGGATTCCATACGGACTAACTTTCACCCTGTGGTGATTGTTCAAGAAGATTGCATCAGTCTAATTCACCTGTTAATTCAATTTGCATTTTTTTGCATTATTCATAAGCTTCTAAAATTAATCATTGTTATTAAATCAATTTATGCAAACAAATAGTATAGATATTATTATTTATTTGAGTGGGATTGTTTATATTGAAATTGATTTTTAATTTAGTTGTAAATTATTAATAATATCAAACTATATCTAGTTTTAATTAAATAATTACATCAAAAATATCTAGTCATATTAATAGAACCTACAATAATGTGAAAATAGATTTATTTTTGGAACATGATCCATAAGTTAGGATGTAAACTCTTCCAAAAGGTGAAACAATAAATTTAAAAAATTACTCAAATATTGATTTTGTTCAAGCAGAAGGAGAAGAAAAAAGAAATAAAAGAATCAGCTGTTTATACAGTAAATACTGCACCAGGAGAGAAAAAAGATGTTACTTGTCCCATGCCTGATGCATACAGTCCAAAATATGTTGAAGCTGCATGGTATTCTTGGTGGGAAAAGAGTGGATTTTTCAAACCAGAATATAATGTAAGAATTGATACATTGTTCAATTTAAATTGAAAAATTATAATACAATTTAATTAATATATTTTAACTGAATATTACTCCATTATAGAGAAAAAGTATATCAGAAAGTAATCCTAATGGAAAGTTTGTAATGGTAATTCCCCCACCCAATGTCACTGGTTTCCTTCATCTTGGACACGCATTAACAAATGCTGTAGAAGATGCAATCACAAGATGGTGAATAATAGCAGCATTAATTTTTTACATTTAATCTTACAATTTAAGACGAACATCAAATAATTGGTTTAGGAATCGAATGAAAGGTCGTACGACTCTTTGGAATCCTGGTTGCGATCATGCCGGTATTGCGACTCAAGTTGTTGTAGAAAAAAAATTATGGAGAGAAGAGCAAAAGACTCGTCACGATTTGGGTCGTGAAAAATTTGTAGAGAAAATTTGGGAATGGAAGAAGGAGTAAGATTTATTGTGATTTTTATTTTGATATTAAATGTTATATTTATTGTACCTTATTTTATTTTAGGAAAGGAGATAGAATTTATGAACAGCTGAAAAGATTGGGTGGTTCATTTGATTGGGATAGAGCTTCTTTCACGATGGATCCTAAATTATGCCGTGCAGTTACTGAAGCATTCGTAAGATTGCATGATGAAGGAGTCATTTACAGGAGTAATCGTCTAGTAAACTGGTCTTGCACTTTGAAAAGTGCTATTTCAGATATTGAAGTAAATTATATATTTCATTTTATTAGACGTCGATTTTTATTATTTTCATTTTAACGTAATATATTTGTAGGTGGATAAAATGGAGTTGACTGGAAAAACATTGCTTTCCATTCCAGGTTACAAAGAAAAAATTGAATTTGGGGTCTTAGTGCTATTTTCTTATGAAATTGAAGAAACAAATGAAAAAATCACTGTTGCTACTACCCGAATTGAAACGATGTTGGGAGATACTGCTATTGCCGTTCATCCTGAAGACGCAAGATACAAACACTTGATTGGAAAGCATGCCAAACATCCGTTCTGCAGTAGAAAACTACCAATTATCGCCGACACATATGTTGATATAGCATTTGGGACCGGTAAGGATCGGTAATTTTTTAAATTGTGATGAGAAAGAATACTTTTATTATAATATTCTTTACTTTTTAAGGTGCTGTAAAAATAACTCCTGCTCACGATCCGAACGATTATGAAATTGGAAAACGGCACAATTTACCATTTGTTACGATATTCGATGATGATGGTAACATAATTGGTGATTATGGAATATTTACGGTACAATCTTTTGTTACATCATTTTTTAATAGAACAATGTGCAGATAACTCAAATAAATAATAATTCTTTGAATCAAATTACAGGGAATGAAGCGCTTCTATGCTAGACAAGCAATAATCAAAGAACTGACTGATAGAAGTCTATTTGTAGAAATTAAGGACAATGCTATGGTTGTGCCTATCTGTAGTCGATCAAAAGACATTGTTGAGCCACTCATCAAACCGCAATGGTAAGCTTAAACAATAGAATTTTAATTTTAAATGCAAATTTTCTTTACTATAAATTAATCTGTTTATAGGTATGTCAAATGTGCTGATATGGCAGCTGCAGCTACCGAATCTGTAAAGACCGGGGAATTAAAAATTATTCCTGAACAATTTAAGAAAACGTGGTACTACTGGATGGAGGGCATTAGGGACTGGTGCATCAGTCGGCAATTGTGGTGGGGTCACCGCATACCGGCTTACTATGTTACTATTAAGGATAGCAATAATGAGGTACTGCTCTATTCTCAATTGAGATTTCAAGTGCTGTAAATTATGTAGAATTATAAAGAATTATTTATTTTTAGACTTCAGATGACGATAGATGGGTGAGTGGACGTACGGAGGATGAAGCAAAAGAAAAAGCAGCCAAGAAGTTTAATATCAGCAAAGACAAAATTATACTCCAACAAGATCCTGATGTTTTGGATACGTGGTTCTCATCTGGCCTCTTCCCATTCTCAATTTTCGGATGGCCTGATCAAGTACGTTTATGTGAAGTTCTTTATTTGGATTTTTTATTTATTACAATACTATTCAGGGACATTTTATCTAATTATAGACAGAAGAGCTTAAGGCGTTTTATCCTGGAACTCTTTTAGAAACTGGTCACGACATCATTTTCTTCTGGGTAGCAAGAATGGTGTTCTTCGGTCAGAAGTTATTAGGAAAATTACCTTTTAAGTAAGTTTCAGTTAAAAACTTTGATATAATATTTGGTGTCCAACAAAATTAACATGATTTAAAACAGAGAAGTATATCTGCACGCTATGGTGAGGGACGCTCATGGTCGGAAAATGAGCAAATCTCTCGGCAATGTAATCGATCCTATGGATGTGATTCGTGGCGCTACATTGGAGGTAAAATATTTTGCGATAGTTCATTATTGAATAATTTACAAAATTAACAAAAGATTTTTAATCCCAGAATCTCCACAAGCAACTATTAGACACTAATTTAGATCCTCAAGAATTAAAACGCGCGACGGAAGGTCAAAAACGTGATTATCCACAAGGCATCCCCGAATGTGGTACGGACGCCTTGCGTTTTGCTTTATGCGCTTACACCTCGCAAGGCAGAGACATCAACCTTGACATTCTAAGAGTCCAAGGCTACAGATTCTTCTGTAACAAGCTCTGGAACGCGGCCAAGTTTGCTCTCACATATTTTGGAGATGGCTTCGAGTATGACGAAGCTGCTGATGCTAAGGTGATACTCTATTTTATAGATTTAAGTTTTAAAATTTTTTAGTTTTAAAAACTTGTTTTGTAAATTTACTATCCGGTCAAATTTATTCTAATTTTTATAATATTCATTTAACTTGATCATGCTACACTGTTAAAGGTCAACAACAAAGCCAATAACTTAACCGACGTTTCAGTTTTACAAAGTGTAATTGGCGTTTCAATTAACAAAGTATAATCTATTTGCATAGTACATCCTCACAAATCATATTTTTTATCATTTTTAATTAGGTCGCATATATTTTTATTAGTCCTGCTCGCAATCGACAATCGCCATTAGTATGCTAATTTGTTTTCAAAATTTTCGTCGTATAAACGTCTAACGAAAGACAATAACGGTCCGCAGTCTCTGAATGCAGAACGACTATTTGGCGATCTCGGCTGGTACACACGTACGTTATCCGAGCCGTGCGTGCAGTCGTCTCTCGATGCCTACCTTGCTGACTATCCCTACCTAGATGGCTATACACCTTCGCGTCTTGATCTCAAAGTACACGAGGCTCTGGATAAATCGTGCTTTAAACATAAAGCTCATCTCAGACGATGGCATGCTCATATCAGTAGTTTTGCCACTGAGGAAAGGAGCAAGTTTCGAAACGAAAATCGCAGAATCATGTCGTATTGCGAGATTAGAATGGGAAATGAGGGTTGCTGTGCTCGTGGATTTCAGGTGATGATTGCATGCAGTTGTGACTACGAATCGTATCGTTTGAGCGATATTACATTGTTCAGCTATAATGAATGCATAGAATTGTAAAGAAACTTTAAGATTAACGTCAACATTTGTGATTTGAATCGCAGCTTACCAACAACGAATCAAATATCGACATGTGGATGCTGTCCAGGGTGAGTAACGCAGCTGCAATTTGCGATGAGGGCTTCGCTCAGTACGATTTCAACGGCGCTACAACAGCTTGTTACAACTTGTGGTTGTATGATTTGTGCGACGTTTATCTGGTGACTATTGCGACTTGGTCGATTAAAAATAAGCTTAATTATCAGTTTAATGCACATATGTAATTTGACAGGAATGTTTGAAACCTGTGTTCCAATGTGGAACTGATAAGCAAAAACAAGCTGCTCAACGTGTCTTATTCAAAACCTTGGACGTTGGCTTGCGATTACTGAGTCCGTTTATGCCTTTCATCACAGAGGAGTTGTATCAACGCTTACCTCGTAAAAACTTAGTTTTTCCCAGTATATGCGTCAGTCCGTATCCTACTGCCACCGAGGTTTGTACTTTATGTACTTTATTTAGAATAGATTATGTAAAATTATATAAAAAGAATTACGCAAAATAATAAAAAATAATCAAAACAATTCAAAAACATTTATTTTAAAAGAAGACAAAAGTTCTTAAAAATCGTAGTTTACATGAAATGAAATTTCTAAAAATCATATTGAATAAATTTACAGTGTCCATGGAGAAATGAAGAGTTGGAAAGGGACGTTGACTTTGCTCAGAAAGTTGTACGAAGTATTAGGTCGTCGCGAGGTGCTTACAACATACCAAATAAAACGAAAACTGAAGCTTACTTTGTGAGCCATGACGACGAGCACAGGGACAAAGTTACTAAGTACTCCGATATTATCAGTACGCTGGCGTACTCGATCATTCGTCTGGAGGACCCTCCTGGAGGCTGTGCTATTCTTACGATTTCAGATAAGCTTCAGGTGCATCTGTTGCTGAAGGTAAATACGAATAATCAGCTCTCAATGAATTTTTAAAACTGACTTCAAATTAGAATGTGTATGAATTGCTTAATGTTTATTTTGAAGGGCATCATTGATCCCGTTAAAGAATTAGAAAAACTGAAAAAAAAAGAAGATCAATTAAAAGGAACGATTCAAAAGCTGAAACAAGCCATGTCATCGACCGATTATAGCGTCAAAGTACCTGCTGAAGTGCAAGAAATGGATAAGGAGAAGGTTCTCAGTAATGAAGGCGAGATGCAAAGATTGGTAGAAGCTATGGAGGCTCTACGAACTTTATGAATAAATGAAATTTTTTAGTATCAATTTTATTAACTTATTATTTATTAACGATTCTTAATGTTCTTAATGAAAAAAGTATCTGAAGATAAGTAATTGAATTTTTATGCATATTTTCTCGATATTATATGTTTCTCAAGCATAAAACACAGTGAACATTAGTTATCTCAGCCAGGTTCATTCAGGTTTGAAGACAAGTGTTCATGGAAGGTTTAGGCATGCAAATTGAAATTTCTTAGCTTTATATTAGAGATTTTAAGCCGATGTTTATAGTTTCATCGACTAACCAACAGTCTGTTTATGATTTTTACATGGGCATGAGAAGGTTTACATAGAACATAAGCAGCCCCGTCAACTGGTAAAATTACAGGGCGCATTTTGTAACAGGCCACAAGCCCTGAATTTTGCTGCTGGTACTGTAGCTGCCTGCAAACAGAAAAGTACCCGAAACAAATCGAAAAAGAATGGCTGGCCTGTTTCTGTTGATCGCACATTAAATCGAGCGATTCGACAAGTTTTTTTTTTCAATTGATCCAAAATATTGCTTATAATGTCATTGAAGAGTTGCGTCAGGTTGCCAATAGATTTTTAAAACACAAAATCAAAATGTGTATTAATTGTAGTTTAAATTTATTTTCACGGATCAGATGCATGAAACTGACAAGGACAAGTTACTTAATCATAAGGAAGACGAGGTATAGAGATCGGTAGAAGCTATGGAAGCCCTGCGAATGATATAAATAATAAATATATTTCTAAATGAATTTTTTATATTGAAAATTATTATCTATTATTTCACCTTCATCTTTATTTGATCGATTGAAATTAAAACTGATAGAAGTAGAAAGTAAAATAACAATGTAAAATTTTTTATTAAAAATTTATTTGTGCCAATGTAGGTATATAATATATATCTATGGAAAGATATATCATAACAAATATATTACACGTTCCCTAAAAACTCATGTTCAACGAAAAAATGAGGAAAGTAAATATACGTAATGCAAAAATGGAGTTTGAGCGCATTTAATTTGTAAATAATTGAGTATTTCTATACGTCCTAATTCTCCATATGCAAAATAATTGTTCTATAAATTTTTTTTCGGTAAGATGATGAATAATAACTGGTAACGATAATTAATATAATATAAAGTTCAATTCAAGTAAATATTGTCGACGGTCGCGAACTAGCGCGACGCTATGTGTGAAATATAAAAACTAATGCTTTTTTGAAAAAAGTGCATTACGATATACATATACAAATATAATATACAGAGTCTAGTTGTTACTTTCGGAATGATCAATCTTTCATTCTCGGACTATCAGTTAATCGATACTTATTTACAAAAAGGAAGAACACAATTGCCACATTGAATTTGTAATTGAATTGAATTATTCTCTTTTTTTCCTCAAGACCAATGAGCTATATTATTATGTCTCCAATAAAATTTCGCACAAATAATTATGATGATTGAAACTAATAGTAATTCTCGAATTTAAACGTTATAATCACGTTTAATTTTTGTTTTAATTCTACATTTGTGCAGGAACTTGTGCTGTTTAGGTTCCAATTGGCTAATTTCATATATTCACGGTACATTTTTTACTCGCTATGTTCGAATATAGATCAAAACTTATTCGATTATGATTGTTAAAAATAAGGCCGATAATAAATCAAGAAACACATCGTGAAATTTACGTCAAAATAACTATTATAATTCGTTTAAATATTACGATAACGATAAATTAAAATTCCATATATTTCGAAAAAACAAATTGTTTGATAGATAAATTTAACAGCTTTATAGTCATACCAAACTCAGCGATGCAAATATCTAGTCTTTTATTGAACTGATTTTTCGTTGTACCTTGAACAAGATATAATAAGCAAAAGCTAAAATGATAGACTTGAGCGTGTCACAAATAAATCGCTTTGCATAATATCATTTGCACTGATACATGGACAGACTACGACTTTGCATATCACAACAAATTTTGAAGCAGTATCGCAGAATATTTCGAGCAGACGTGAGAAGCTTACTTTCAAATGATATTTTTTCATTCGCTATATGAGATATGTTTTTATTATCACCAGTATTCACACTAAGTTTTAACATGATTCAACGTAAATAAATAAACACGTTCATCAATAAACTCACTCTACATTATACGAATTTACGGATGATCAATTAGTCAAACTAATCATTATAGAAAATAGCTACTCAAGTCTGTTAATAAAACAATTAAAAAAATATCAACGAAGAAAATATTTTTTTCCTATGGTTTCTCAATAACTTTATAAAGGTTATTATTAGAATTATTAACTATACTTTGCCTACTATCGAAAAAAGAATTTCTTTGACGTACATAGTTTTACAAATTCATCCAAAAGATATCTATCTCATTTTCTTCCATATAGCAATTAGCTGAACCCTCCCTTTTCAAATAATCTTTTAATTTGACTTAGAAGTGTGTACAAGACTCTCTGATTTATAATTTTAATTGAAGAATTGATTATTTCTTATCATTTCATAAGACCTATCTTTCGACTGCTTATCAGTCGTTAGAGTATTTGATATATCTACGTTGATTTCCTGAATAAATAGTGTAGATCTAACTGCTTCTTTATTTTGGTTATTTTTATGTGTAATATATTAATGTGGGCCTTAAAAATAGATAAAAATAATTGCTAAGAATTGCGAAATCAAATAATAACTAAAAAACATTAGACACTAAATTTCTAATTTACAAATAAATAATCATTATTATTTAATGGAAAATATTTCTTTGTTGATTGTGTTTTTCGATTTTTTTTAGGGGAGGTATGGAGCATTTACTAATTATTTTCCTATCAAATAACGAGAGTTGCTCTAATATCTTAAATAACCCTGTATCCGAAATTATTACTAAACTTAAGTCCAGCGCGTAAAAGAAGTAGATTCTCTCACTATTCGAACATCTGATTAGAAGTTTATATAAAATGTTTGATTCTCGTTTAAAACTATCATTGTAGCTTAAATTTTATGTAGCTCAAATCTATAAAATCAAACCAATATTCTACTATTAAATACTTATACACACATAATTATTTGAATTAAATATCATTAATAAAAAACCGTTGAAAATTATATCGAAAGAATTTCAGTAATTTTTCAACAAATGCTTGTTGCGAGTTACAACTCACATAGTCCATCTTAAAGTAACAATACACAACTTTTAAATAGAATCGAATGTGACTTATAAAATCAACAATGATTAAATGAAAATGATCGCAAGTCAACTACTCAACAACAAATACATTTTACTCCAACAAGATTATCGTATGCAATGTAAAATTATAAGCAACTCTCGTTATTTTATATTTGAAACTAAATAAAAGAAGAAACTTTCGCAATCTAAGACTCTCAATTGAAATTTTTAAATAATCTCAACTATCGCGTTGCCCACCTATACTTGGCTCGTTCAGTCGAACTTGGTCCAGTTGCTTGGCGATTTGACGGTCTGCTGAACGCTAAAAGCTGTACCAAAGGGCTGTTTACTGTTACCGTAAGTTGGCTCTAACGATGGCTGCGACGACGATGTCGATGAGGCCGAAGCGTTACCATTCGATAAGCTAAACTTATTGAAGTCTAGGCCGTATTCTTGGAGTAGGTCCAAGTCGCCGATTTTCGACTGGAAAAAAGCAAGGAATTATTCGTGAGGTCGCGTTGTAAAACTTCAAAATTTTAATGAAGTATTTGTATGAGCATTCAAGGTTAAACAAAATTTATAAGAAAATGACTGACCGTTGTTATCTAATAGTAAGCTTGGTAATGCAAGGCATGGTTATATGGAATACACGTTATTCACGTCAAAATAGCAAGTTAAACTCCACAATTAAAAAAAATGTATGTCAATTAATTGTTCACAACCTATTAACAAACTGCGTTAGCACTTACTTGACTGGAAGGTGCTGGTTCGGAGTTTCGCTGTATAGGCGTAAAATAAGGATATAACGGGTTGCTCAATCCTTCGCTCATCTCGGGTAGATGTAACGACTGACTCATTTGCTTGGGGATAGAACTATTCAAAGATGCTTTTTTTGATAGCAGCGGATCGAAATCTTCGTCGCTATTTGTTGAATCCAGCCTGATTAAGTCATGCACGTCGGATGGTCCCTGCAGAAAACAAACAGTGAATATTAGAACTTCTCGTATTTGATTTTGTTGTCGGGTTAGTCAGAAAAAATTTTTGTATTAGGGGCACGATTGTTGGTTTTCTCGTTCTCATTAGCTGTGCTAGAAACGAGTATTTACCGTAAACGAGTGTATGTTAGTGTTTTTAAATGTTTATTAATAATTAAACCGACTTGCCTATTTAAAATACGTATCTTACGGTTACCACAAGCTTATATAATTTTAATAAAACATTTTTGCGGCATGCAAGACTAAGACTCAAAGCAACTACTAAACGAAACCGTGCCGTAGCTTAAAAAAATACACACACATACACACACACAAGTCTGAAGAGCAAAGAAAAACAAAATGAAACATTTACCTTAGCAGGAGCAGAGCGTGATTTGCTAGATTTTAATGGCGAAGGTGGTGATTCAGCGGGCGACTTATGGTTGCGATTGTTGCGAAACAAAGGATTTGGAATAGCAAAGGGATTGAGTACTTGGCTAGTATCGAAAGGATCATTGGCACTCTCATTATTATAAGTATCATTGAGTGTGCTAGGATTAGTATACAGTTCGAATGGATCTTCGGTGCGAAGTTTATTGAGATGTCGATCGACCGACAGCAGATTATTGGTCGGATTGACAAATTCGTTAATCTTAGGCTCGTTGCTGCTAGGTTTGGGCCCGATAAGCGGCGCCTTCTCTTTGGAGGGTTTCATCGCGGGCGGTGGTGCATCGGGAGGTGAATCTTTGGTTACTTGTTTGTGTTGATGCTTCGGTAGGGAATAGTGCTCGTACGGATCGGAGTTGTTTGCTGAAAGTGTCGGTCCTTGTCTCAAGCGGCCGTTGCTCCTCAAGGAAGACGGTCTCAAGCTGTCTAAACTGCGCACTGGCTTCAGCTGCAATGATATGCCACACTCATCTCTCACTCATGCCGCGCGACCACAGATATTGAGTTGCAATTTTGCTCTCTCTCTCCCTCTCTCTCTCTCTCTCTCTCTCTCTCTCTCTCTCTCTCTCTCTCTCTCTTTTGCTGTGTGTTTGTATTTACGTTCGATGACGTCATTAGTGTCGGACGAATAGTCGAAAAAATACGCGTAAGATAGATGTGCGAAGCGCTGATAAACAGTCAAAGGCGCTGCCTCGTCGATAGTGTTGTATTTTTTAAAAGCTAGTCCTAAAACTCGACCGGATATGATAAACATTATCGAAAATACAGACACTCGATGGCTTTTATCGTTTCTGTACAACGTTTATTTTTGGAATTGACAATTGTGTGGCTTTAGCGACGAGTAAGGCGAAGCTACAATTTTCTATTCGCAAACTTTTTTTTTAGTACGGCAAAATATGTGTTTATGATGACAATGGATATACGATTAAATCTTATTTTTGCAAAAAAAAGGAAGATAAACTTATAAATGGTTATTCGCGTGGAAAATATATTTTTATAGGTGATTGAAAAGAACGATATGATAAATTACATCACAATTAATATTTCAAAATCCATAAGTAAAAGCTGCATTCTGACGGAAGCACTAACCATCTTTTTTATCGTAAAAATAATGAAATGACATGCAACTGTAAATATAATATACGAACGTAAAATGTTAAATATGTAAATTGAGCTTACCACTGTTGTTGTAAAGCCACACGAATGATAATTTATTAATATAAAAGTAAACGTATCCAATTACGATGACTCAAAATTCTAAGATTCAAACGTGAAAATGTGCAAGCTTTCGATATCCCGCGAGTGCTGGAGCGTTCCTCCAATTTCGCTGATGCAGGCAAAAAAACGCACTTGCGCTCAAAAGTGTGCGAACTGTTATCATTAACGAGAGAGAAAAGCAACTACTGCGCGGAAGCATCATTCGCTCGCTTTGCGTCGTCGACGAGACGCACGAAATCTAGCGCATTATGCAATGGTACAATGATATTCCGATTCATAACTGTCGCAAATAGTCATAATGTATATGTGGCGATATATATCTCACTCCAATTATTCAAGCAACACATGTATATGTAGACTTGGAAAAAAATGAGTGCAGCTTACGAAAATTGATCGATGTATATCATTGACGCCAATCGTCTGACGAAGTTCATAAAAAACAAACAAAAATGAAAGGGCAAAAAAAACTAGGACATGCCAACTACGCCTTTCAAATCTCACGGATTGAAAAAATGATGCCCATGCTCGCAGGTGTATAATATGTAAGTCACAAATGAACGATAAAAGAAAGTGCAATAAATATGATGGTCATGTGTCTGCGCGTTACTACACAAAAATATAACAGTTATCTTACGCTCCGGTCCACGGGAGGCATATTTGGAAAGATGACGTCGCGAAGCTCGTGCATCAAGTCGATATTCAGACGCTCTGGTGGTGAATCTGGATCCTCTGGCGAACCTGGCGACAACGGTGAGTACTGCTTTCTACTATGGAGCAAGAAGAATTTTCTAATTTTCACTTAAGCATGTAACAGTTCTTTTGTAGTGCTGATCAAATGAAATTTGAGTTTATAAATCAAAACGAATATTTGTACACATTTAATTGTACAATGAGCTATAACTCAAATTTATTTGATACAATGTTCTGATGAATTAAATAAAAGTTCGATTTGGTATTCTGAACGTTGAAAATTTAATAACACTTACCTAGTTTCAACGTTACTATTTCGAAGCCTAATTTCTTTGCGATAGCTAGTTGTGGGTGTAAGGCCACTGGGAGATTTAGACGGAGAAGCGAAAGATATTGGCCTTCGGTCGAGAGTCGGCGAACTCGGCGCTGATCTAGGTTGATTGTAACGCATGCTGTTATCTCCTCTATGCATTCGTCCTGCAATTGTAATATAGCTGTTGAGAATCATTCTTGATCTAATTTAATTAATAGTTTTACCTTTCAACTTAAGGCCTTTGTAAACAGTCTTCATGTCTTTTCCTTTACCTTTAACCTGCATTGATTACAATATAAATTAATATAGTATTTTAGAATGACCCAATAAATTAATGAAATTACTTGTATTTACCGATTTTACAGCATATTTTACAGCAGGATTTGCTTTATCTTTTACACTACGAATAAAAGCAGATCCTTCTTTGCGCATAGCATAAGTCCACTCTCTGTATTGTTGCATAAATTTACTACTGGATTTATCTGAATAATTACAAGCTTCCATCTCGAATTCGTCCGAAAAACCAAGTCCTGAGTTTAGCATATGTAACCTTTCTTCAATAAACTGTAAATATTTATTGAAATTTATTATTAATTTTCCATAATTGTAAATAATATACACATGTTTATTTTTATTTTTCTGTCTCATATTGTCATTACACTGTGAGTTTTTAGATTAGAAATAGATTCTGCGAAAAATTTATGAAAAACTTTCTCACGCGAAATTATCTTTAAACAAATAGAACTTCTGTATACTACAGTAAAACGATACGTTTGCAACTTGGATGAGTAATGCCTCATCAATTTGATTTACATTCATTATATCAAATTTTTAGCCTATCATTAATATTTAATAACGCTTGTATAAACATTCACACCATCCATTCTTTTATTTACACTACTTTCCTGCATAGAAAATTTTATCACGTGCAGGTAATATGATGAAGGATTGTTACCAAATTTTAAAAAGAATAAAAAGAAATGAATTGAACCTGTTGAAAAATTTGCAACTCCAACATTTTTCGAAGAAACGGCTGCATGGAAATAGGTCGACTTTCGACAAAAGCCTCTTGGTCGAACGTTATCCTAACATGGTCATCGTTCTGGCCTTGTTGTAAGGTTAGTGCCTCCCGATAACCGGCTGTTAATTGAACTAATGCTCTCAAAAAAGCCCGTGATACTCCATCGCCAAGAAGAGCAGGTCGATTACGCAACGCTCTCCTCAAATTCGTTACCTACGATAACACATATGTACTATTACTTGCTGTACGTCATCAGTCATTGATTACTTTATTTTCTCAAATTTTCGCATTGTATACATTTATTTAAGATATATTCAATGCGCTTTACTCACTACGTCTTGAGGTAATGATTCCAAATCTTGGAACGGCGACTCGATCGTATTATCATCAGCATTAAGAATAACAAGTTCTCCCAAGTCACTGTGTCGTACGCGCTAATAAAGAATAATGTTATCATTAACTTCTATACTGCAATTCTTTTTGAATCTTCAAGCCATTTATGGTACACAAGACGTAAAACTTCGATAATACTCTTATATGGCTATCATTTGAAAGCTCATTTTCTATATAAATAAATCAATTAAAAAAAATCGAAATTTAATAGTACCTTAAGAGTTGAAGCTGGTACTCCAATGAGAAACGGCATGGGTGCTAATAAATAATCAGTTAACGAACGAGGTAAGACTGGTATATATATATGCTGCCAGATCATTGGGTAGATTAAGGCATTGCAAGCTTGCACACATGCACTTAATCTAGATAGTCTTTTTGACGTGAATATAATGCGTCTTTCATACAGCATGGAAGCAAAAACTATCATCATGTTGTGGGAATCGATTGCGCTAAAATATTCGGTCAGGTTTCTCTGCAAAACAGATCGTTCCATATTATATTTAGACACTTGAATTTATTTTGGCTCAATTTCCTAAGAGGTAGATCTATACTTACGTTCTCTGGTATACTTGGCAATTGAAATTGTTTTGGCCTTTGACAAACGAAAGTCTATGGCGGAATAAAATTAATCTTTGATGAGCAGATTGAAACTATTGATTAAAAAAAAAATTTCATTTTATGGGCATACAAACTTACAGTCTTGTCATCCGGCAATGGAACACTAACAGAACCTCCAGAAACTGGAATAGTAGTTTCATAAACATCCCCAAGAAATTTCCATAAATCTCCTGCATTATTACTAGAAACTAAAGTTGCTATATGATTCAATAATCTACAATAAAAAGAAATGTGGTTAGCTTGAAAAAAGAATAATAATGAACTAAAAGAGATTAAACTTCATCATACTTATAAAATGTTTCATGCCATGGTAAAGCACTTAAAACAACTAAAGCTGTTTGGGTCTTTGGATCATGCCGACAAAATCCAAATGTCCATTTTGAATCTATGCTTGTGAGTACAAATGAAAAATGTTGAATTGCGGTACTGAAAATAAATGGTTTTGATATTAATAATAAATTGTGGTACTTTTATTTATAGATGACATATATTTTGACAAACTTACTTTTCAATTTCACAAGGGTATGCAAATTTAGGAACAGATTTGAGTACCTCTGTATCATTATACGATTCAGGGTACCTTTGGAGTATCCAAGCTTGTTTTTCTCCATTAGGTTGAGCTACTTCACAGAAGCACTCAAATATCTGTTTCACGTTCTCTCTGTAAATATTATATTATGTTATTAAGTAGGAATCATTAAATTTGGATAAAATTAAACATTCATAAATATTATATGAATATTAGAATTCTTTGTTAACTCTAAAATTAGTTTCCAAATACTACTGTATAAGATTATCAACGTGCCTAATATTTCTAAAATTAATTAAATAAAGTTTACTCTTTTGTAGGGTACCCATATTCAGAAAAGTTTCTAATATTTGCACAAGCATTCCATTTCCATATATGCAGGCTAGTAGCATGTGGTAAGACTTTCTAATGAGAATAGCTATTTTTTAACTCAACCCTTTTTATATTTTTTGTATATTTTGTATATTATCTGTTGAGAATTAGAATAAAATCATGTAAAAATAATTTTGAAGCAGAAAAAAATTAAGAATTTACAAAAATAATTGCAACTTAACGTTATTTAATAATCATTTGAAATGTATAAAAGTATAATTTCAATTCACATATGTCAAGAATTTTTAAAGGCTCTACTAAAGATTTCGCCACTTTAGCATTGAGCATTTATTATACTGAACTATTACTTTATACATTGTTTTCAATGTTACAACAATTAATAATTATCATTGACATTTTTGCTTGCTTAACCAACAGATGAAATATTTATTATCAAATAAGTAACACTCAAAGATAAAGCAGCACGAAAGCATGAATGTTCACCTCAATCTGGAGCCCATGATGTAGTGCTGTGAAGCAAGTGAATCTCCTAGTGCATTGGACCTTGATTAGCTTGAGCATGATGATGCTGCTGCTGGGTGCAGTGCCTTTTTGACATTTCAATGTGCAAATTCCAGCATCGCATAGCAGGTCTATTTTAAAACACACAGACAGCAGCACACACTTGCAATGATACACTTTGCAGGATGTGTCGTTCTATTCTGAGAGTGAAAAGAGAGAGAAGAGTGCAATTGAGCATGCGAGCGCACACAGAATTGCTGGCCCCTGGCTCACGGTGCCTGGCACTGGCCGCAGCCGAGAGGAACGGAAAAAGAAGTCTCCATAGAAAGAGCTAAGCGAGCAGTAAGCGAAAAATAGTGGGAGTGAACTGCTCTGCCGTCGTGACGTCACGTCTCTATCATTCCTCGCGAACTCGACTTTCGTTTTATTTGTTTTCACGCCGCCCGACAAATGACTCATTCACCGAGCGACTGCCAGTGGCCAACAACAACCACTGAGTAAGTCTGGTTGCGCCCCCGCAATACACGTAAACATCCCACGAGTAGAAAGAGGAAGAGAGTAAGAGAGAAAAAGAGAGAAAGTTAGAGAGAGCGACTCTGGTCTGCGGTGTGTTTATGGTGCTCAGAGCGCCACAGGCCACTGCCACAGCTGATAACAAAGTTTACAGAGTGACGTCACGGGAACGAGGTTATGACGGACAACTCGATCTTCGGCTGCACACTTCGGCCTTTTAAATCCCCAGAGATTTTGATTTATGGCGCAGTGATTTCGCCAGCTCAATGTGGTTGTATTGAACGTTTTTGAATTTTAATTAGTTATTTAGAAAACTTCGAAATTTTGGAGTTGCCGTCGAGAAATTGATAGTATAATGAGTTACACTTCGGATGAGAGGACTGTTCCTCGCGTTCAGGTTGATGGATTTGGATTCTTGCCCGATGATTATAGCAATATTGTTCGAAGGTACAATTAATATCGCACAATGGAAATTTCGCGTTCGCCAAAGAACTGTCATTTATCTTGCAGATACACGATCACTAATAAGAACAACGCGGTAGTCAGATTGATAACTTTAGGTGCTGGTATACAATCGATAACGCTGCCGAATAAAAATGCCGATATGGTCGATGTGATTCTTGGGTTCGATAACGTTAACGGTTAGTTATAAATCTTTTTTTCGATTTAATTCACATATAAAAAAAGGTCAGGAAAGCTAATAACTTCTTTCACTCTTAACTAGACTACCTTCAGATCCGTCACATCGGCAGAATAGTCGGCTGCCAGTTAAACTGTGATGACTGTGCTTTCGACATGGTTAATTGGGAAGCGTATATTTTGGGTGAACAAGTGGTAAGAGAGAAAACCAAAAAATACCGTATTTTTTAATGGACTCGAAGCAAGAGAAAAAAAAACGTTCTATTTTTGTTGCGACTATGTGTATAGGTAATGACGCACGTAAGCTTGGAGCCAGAGATACTGACTCAGGTGACGTACACCTGGACTGATGAGAACCGACTGCACGTGGATATATGCGCTTACGCGACAAAATGCACTCAAGTTGACTTTGGATACCACTGCTTTTTCAATTTAGCTGGGCATGCAAGTCGTTGTTTTTTTTATTTTTAATAAGCCAGTTTGTAATCAACACTGCCAGTTCTTCTTTTACGTTTGTTTATATTTATTATTTTTTAATACAAAAGACTTGCGAAAGACTTTTGTGTTTAAATAGTATTACATAAGTTTTATCTAGATGACTTCATTTTTTATTTATTTATTGAAGTGATATCAGTAATCTGATCAATTTTATTTGAAAACTAAAGGTTAAAATCTTTGTCTTCTGACAAATATCCAGTTGTCTCGTAGAGAATAAACTATAAATAATGACTATAAATAAACTATAAATAATGACTTGAAACAGGGTATGGGTGCTAAAGAACTAGAAAATCATTACGTCACCGTGAATGCAGAAAGATGGATAGAGCAGGACATTAAGTGCAACTTGCCAACAGGTGTGCTGAAAAAGATCCATAAAACAGTTTACGATCTACGCTATCCTACAAGGCTAAATGCCAAAAAATTACGTCAAGTTCCTGGTGGCGGCTATAACCATAATTTTTGTATTAACAATCCAAGCGGCGAGTGGTGTTATCGGTTTCATGCAAGGTAGCATTTAATAAAATACTTTAAAGATTAAACTCTTAAGTCCTGCTAATATTTTAGAATGACCCACCCAAATAGTGGACGATCGTTAGAAGTTTTATCAAATCATCCGGCGATGAAATTCTACACAGGAAATGATCTACCCGATCCCAATAGAATCCTATTTCGAGATATCTATAACAATGTAAATATTTCATTTAAATGATTATGGTATTAATCATTGAGTAGTTAAGATTTGATAAAATTTATGATCACTTTACCTTAGGATGTTTCCGAAAACCGTACAACATGCTTCAAAAAAATTATTGGCAAAGATGGACTACCGTACAGAAGACACGGATGTTTTGCGTTAATTCCTCAAGGTTATCCAAACGCATCACAATTCCAACATTTTCCATCAAATCTCTTAGAATCCGGAAAAATTTACGTGCACAATCTAACATACGATTTCGGTGTCGACGACTTAATTGTATAGATTTTTTTAAATGTTTGCTAGTAAAAAGTCAATATAAAATATAAAAATTTTCTAATTTTTATTTAGTAAAAAGAAGAACACAAATGTAATATTGTTATTAGATATGAAAAAAATATTGTTGACTATAACATTGTACAAATTGCAGTATGTTGCACCATGTTCATGTACGAATCATCATTCTCGCGGTATCACGAAAAGAAATTAATTAGTCACGGCCTCAGAAAGGGGCCTAATTTGCACTTAACACTTTCCCGGCTTGACGGAATTATTCTCGATGGTGTCGATTAACTTCAGAGGCGGAGTATGCGACTGCTCTTCGCCAGCTTTGTCAGTTTTCTTATCAACATTTTTTGACCACGAGCAGCTTCTACGTCTCTCAGAAGACTTTGGCAGAGACCACGAACTACTTCGAGATTTTCGTCCGTTTGATGACGTAGTTCGTGATTTTGCTCGAGTCACGCGAATATTGGAGCTGTCACGGCGTCGTTTGTGAGGTCGTCGAGTATTGCGCTGTCTCGATCGGGATCGACCCCGTGATCTCGAACGAGACCTTGTCTTTGACCTCGATTTTGTTCTAGAATAAAAAAGCAAATTATAATTGCATTCTATGATCTTCTTATTAATGGAATATTTCAACAGTAGCATAATATAACATTGAAAAGATTTTTCACCTAATCTTGGATGTCGTATTCGTAGTCTTTCTCGATCTAGATTTTGACCTGCTACTATGCCTTTTTCGCGATCGTGACCTTCGACGAGTTCTTGAGCGCGATCGTGACCTACTATATTCACGATCGCTTCCAAGGAATTCACGATAATCCTGGCCAACAAGACTTGCGAAGTACTTATAATATTGTTCATTGTACTCTTGAGGGTCGTAATGCTGGTACGAGTCAGCTTTGCGGTACCTTCCTCGACCTCGTCCACCACCACGCCCTCGACCACGTGAAAACCCACGAACCGGCTGGTAAAGTAGAGGTACCGGGTTATTGTAGTACCATGCCTGAGGTGGTAGACCAGAGTAGACATCCGCTGAATAAGGCAACTGTGAATCTTCAAAGGAAATTTAAAAAAATTCATAAAAAAATATAAATTATTTAATAGATAAAATCTAGGAAAGTATATTACCTTTCGAAGAATTCTTGACGGCTTTTCCAGTGATACTTTTTAACTTTTTTTTGTTACTTTCTGAATCTTCGGATTTTTTGTCGGATGTTTTTAACTGTTATAAAATCAAAAATCTTGAGACATTGGAATAAAGTAAAATGAATTATTAATTGAATTATAGTCATACCTTCTTCTTTTTCTTTTCTTTTTTCTTCTTTTTCGTTTTCTTATCTTTTTTATCTTTTTTTTTAGAATCATTTACATTTTCTTTGGAATCACCGTCAATCTTTTCTTCTGGCTTTTCGTCTTTTTTATCGTCAACAGTTTTAGATTTTATATCAATCTCATTTTTTTCTACTTTAATCTATCAATGTACAGGTAAATCATAATGTAAGTATTGAATTGTTGTCGTATTAAGACTAAAGAAATCTATTTTACATACCTTAATTCTATCAAATAATGCATCTAGTAATCTTATACTTTCTAATTGTCTTTGAGCTTTAATAAGCTTTCTCTCTTCTCTAGCTATTTTGAGTGAAACTTTATCTTCCTCTTGTTTGCGAAAAACAGTTAAAGCTTTACGTTTTCGTTTTTCTTCCCGCGTTCGTCGCCTGGACTCTTTACTTTTCAAATCTGCTTCTTCCTTTTTTCTATAACAAATTATAAACGTTTTAGTATTTCCTGCAAGATAAACTACTCAACTTGTTTCGAGATAGGCTCACCTCATTTCTTCTCTTTTTTTAGCTTCTGCTTCTTCTTTGCGGCGTAATTTTTCAGCCGCCATATTATCTTGCGCTATAAGTCTTTTTCTCTCAAAATCCCTATTAGATACTGAGCTATCACTCATATGCTTTGTTTTATCAAAATCAACCTAATATAGTAATATAATATATTAAAAATCTAAATGCCTACTTATAAAGAAACTTGAAAATAAAGAAATAAAGATTACCTCTACAGAAGCAACGAGATGATTTTTTTCTTTATCTTTTTTTAGAAGCTTCATGCCTCTCAATGCATCCATTGCTTTGACAAAATCCATATATTCAACATATTGAATATATGCATCAAAAAAAATACCATCCTCATAACTAAATTTTTGTATACTTGTTCCAAGCCTCATTCTTGACCTATAAGGATCAGCTGCAGGAACATCAACTCTTCTAATTGTACCCCATCTTTTGAAAACTTTAGTAATCATTGGCTCACTAGGAGTTTTCCCATCATCTTCACTGAACCATTTGACAGGAAGACCACAGATATGGATTGTGTCAGGCCTTTCACCTGCTTTCAGTTCATTCATATGCTTTGCATCACGAAAGTAAGAGTCCCAGGAATGTCTTGATGGAAAATCATCCTTCACCTCTGCAGCCTTCACCTGTACAAATAAGATTTTACTTATACAGATTTTTTCAAGTAAACATTAAATGAATATCAACGTATATTAAGAAAAAAAACCTTTAAGACGTTTGGGAACCCCGCCAGGTTCAGGCGCTGCGCGTCGAGTCTCGCCAGAACTCGCTGAAGCCTGGATCTGTCGCCGAGGTCCCCTTCGAATCTGATGAACTCTAATGTGCTCTTGACGACCTTCAGAGAAGCAAACTCGTCTGGCCGTATCAATAGACGTATCTTCTCCATTACCTCCCATGTCGATATTGATTTTCCTGTTTATATTGTAGTAATTCTCTGTAAAACCTACTACTACTGGATGAAAGATTGAACCAAAATCAAGACTGCGTTGCCACTTTCATTTTAAAATCTTCAAATGGTGAAAAGCAACGTAATCCAGATATTGCCAAGTTCTTCCTCCAAGACTTAGGATTATACATCAAAGGAGATGAGTATATTAATGATTAAAGTTACAGAAAATCTACAAAAACATGTAAAATTAAAAGAAACAAGAGTAACTTGCAAAAAAACGCTGTAAACTTGATTTTATTTAGTAAACCAAAAAGGTAATAAAAGAATGATCTTTCTGAGCTAAAATCATAATAAACGAATATGAATTTTAAAGTAGACTGACCAAAAAGAATAAAAGACAATATTTGTAAAGAACCAATCTCGGCTGGCGTTGCGATTTACCTGGAGTCTTTAATTGTGGAAGATTAATGGACACATGGATTTTAGCTATTGGTTTTAAATAAATTCCTCGTGTAGTGTAGAGTGGTACAATATCGCTGAGATCCCTACAGCCCCGACACCCATTAACAACCTCTCCACTGTTAGTTTCACCTACCTTTCCATCATTACCCATCTCATATAAATGTTGCGAATCAATGAACACACTTCAAGCACTGGAAAAAGCGTTTATTCAATATGAACATTGCAAAAAAAACCAATAAAAAAAAGAATAGTTGAATTCACAACAAAATGTAAAACTTAGTAGAGAGATTGTTAGAGGTTGTTGGTGCAATGATCTTAGAATGGCTTGAATGCATTCTCGAGAATGCACATTTCGTTCTTCTATCTTACTCTTGATCAGTCTTTTTTCTCAGCGATTAAAGATCAGGAGTTTGTTGATCGAAAATGATAGTCTAGATCTTGAAGACGTTTACAAAAACTTTCCTAAGTTAAGGACTGGAGAAACACTAGGGACTCGGTGAGGTGAGGTAAGTGTAAGGTACGAAAAATGTACGCCGAGCATGCGCAGAAAGCTTTTCAACGCTTAAACTCGAACTCAGTTTATGAGTTATGACGTCACATATTCGCCTCAGCGCCATTGGTGATTGGTATACTCGACTTCGTTTATTTTGTTAAGCAAATTAAATTAAATAGAGCTTATTATTAATTAGGACAGCTATGAAAAAATGAGTTATGCCATAATCATTGTAAATTTTGTAATCTATTTAACTATTCTACATTTATTTTATATTTAAATTATCAACTCTGAAATATAATTTTGTGTTTAAAAAAGAAATAAATCTTTTTTAGTATGCAATAATTCAATATCTTATAACCTTAACGACTGCATCAATAGATTAATTTCAAAAACTTGGAGTATCGTCATTTGCTGATCACAAGAGCATGTCTAATTTATTTTTGTTCACAACTTTAACTTTAATATTTGCAAAGTTATAAAAGAATGTATTTAAAAAATGTCCTCTTACGGGAGTACAGCCAGTGGATATGTGAATTTTACTGCGCATGCCTAAGCTGCTTCATGTATTTCGCATCGAGAAATTCGAGAATAAGATTGAAGATGGTCATCTCTGTTTATCTGGCAACTGCGCACATGCATCTTCGCTTTTCTGATTGCGCCAGCGCAGAATATTTTCTTCCATGAAAAAAGCAATTTGACCGGAAAATACTTTAGATAATTTGTCTATTTTTGCGAATCTTGCAACGATTTGTGGTCTATTCAAGTGTCCAGTCAGATTCAAGCAGTGAATTAGAAATTGATACAGAATAATACTCTCGTAGAAAATTAGGTGCCACGGACGAGTGAATATTCAAACAAAAAAATGAAAAGTAATTTTCTGTGTGTGTCTCATGCTGCATTTTCACTGTCACTATTACGTCGACATGTGCACACCGTGCGTTTTATCGATCAAAAAGCTCATTGAGATAACGAATTAGTTTTGAGGTTAGGAAGTGTTTGTTCATCGCTTTCCATGAGTTCCATACCATCAGTCTCACGCGAAGTGCATCGGCGGCGGGCATTATTGGAGGAATTCCAAAATGTAGGCTGAAAGAGGTGCAAAACTACTCGTCAACCTTGAGCGGAACCGCCGTAGGGAGAAAAGGGAAAAAAAATAAAATAAAGACCGTGCACTGTCGAGAAAAGTGAGAGGAGAAAAAGAAATGGATCTAAGTTTCGACTATCGACGTTACTGAGTGTCTCCGTTGCAATATTTTCTTGATCCTAAGTATTGTCGTCCAAAGATGGAGGAAATTAGAGAAAAGAAATTTCTGTGCCGGAGACGCTGCACTATTGCACAATCGCTAAAAGCAAAAGATGAACGGACGGCTACCGTCAAAAAGGTGCGACAAGTGCGTGAACGACATTCTTTGTTTTTATTTACACATACATATGCACACGCATACGAATACAAGCACGGACGTAAAAGTTGTTTAGTTTTACATATACGAGTTTTAACGGTTTATGCATGTTACACAATTGCATTTACATGTGCAAACAATTTTTATAATCGAGTGTTATTTATTTTTAGGTTACAGCGATATTACAAAAATCAGAGATCAATAGGACTCCCGAAGAATGTGAATTACTTGACTCCTGCCGTGATATTGTTAAAGAAATTACCCGAAGGTAGGGCGATTTTTAATTAAAATGATTATTTTGAAGCAAAATCGTGATAAATTTCTATTACTTTATGTAATAAAGATTGTTATTACTTTACGCAATGAAAATTTAATGCTTCATTAATTACTGAACTTATTTTGATTTTATTGTTTCGAAATAAACTGAATAAAAACTTGGAAATTATTTAGAATTTGGTTATTTAATTTATGTTTATAATGTTACTACAAAATTTTCAATTAATTCTATAATATTAAGTTTGAAAATTATAATATAACTTAATATTAATTGTAGACAAAATCAATGTAAATTTTATTTTTACAAATTGACAAAATTTTTCAGAAAATTATTTTTAATAAATAATGACATTTTACCATTCGAAAAAGTTCGCTCATTGCATTTGAAAGATTATTCAAATTGACGTGCGGGCAATTATGCATTGTTTTATCATACACACAAATTATTGTGCACAGTAACTTATAAAAAGAATGTTATTAATCAAAATTAATTCCTTAAAAATAATTTTCGAGTTGTTATAATTAATAATCACTAAATACAATTTGTTATAAAAGTTGTTGTAATTAATTACGGTTGATATGTTTTACTTCTCCCTTCTCAATAAACAAGTATATGAAATTTTCCAATAAATTGTTTTCTACATATATCATCTTAGTTTTCATAACGCGAATTGAAAAAAGTAATTAAAAAAAACCGACTTCAAATTTTTTGATAATTACTCGCAAAATTATACTTCAATCAAGTCGAAGCGAAACGGGGCCATTGCGGAAGCATAATACCCGTTCAAATAAACCCAGCTCCATTGAAACCGGTTGAGTAATTCCAGAGATACACGGGAACATGCGTAAAGAAATTCAGATCGAATACAGAACCTCGTTTATTTTAGCAAAAATTTCATATTTGTGAACAGTTTTCCGTATAACCGTACAAATTTAATTATAAATTTTAATAACTGTTCATATCTATTGGTGTTAGGCAAGAGAAAAGGAACAGAGTGAAAGCTAGACTGGAAGAAGTTGAAGACCAGCCAGATATATTGGAAGAAAAATGCATAAGACTTGCTGCAGCTATCAGTCGAGCAACATCATTGGCTGTATACACAGGTGCTGGTATCAGTACAGCTGCTTCGATACCAGATTATCGAGGAACAAATGGAGTTTGGACCAGGTTACAACAAGGCAAAGATATAGGGTTAGTAATAGTTTTAATTTTAGTTTTTGCATAATTTTCATGTCAGTGTTTTTAAAAATAATAGTTCGTTTTTTTATGTTTTACGATAGAAATCATGATCTGAGTCAAGCAGAGCCAACGCTGACTCACATGGCCTTATATGCACTTTACAAAGCGAGAATCCTAAAGCACATAGTGTCTCAAAACTGCGATGGTTTACATTTGAGGAGCGGGATTCCTCGTAGTTTACTTTCAGAAGTTCACGGCAATATGTACGTCGAGGTTTGTCGTAATTGCAAGCCATCACGAGAATACTGGAGGCTATTCGACGTGACGGAAAAAACAGCGAGGTATGCTCACGCAACTGGGCGTACTTGTCACAAGTGTCATTCTTCTCTGCAAGACTCGATTGTTCACTTTGGCGAGAGAGGTAATTTGCTTTGGCCGATCAATTGGAACGGAGCAAGCAGAGCGGCTAAACAAGCGGATGTGATACTTTGTCTTGGATCGAGTCTCAAGGTTTTATTTTAAATATTTTTACTTACGAATATCATAATTAGTTTTTAAATTACTTTTCTTTTTTACTAAATTAAAATTATAGGTCCTCAAAAAATATCCTTGGCTTTGGCAAATGGACAAACCGGTGTCTAAAAGACCGCAACTGTATATTGTGAATCTTCAATGGACACCAAAGGACGATAGCGCGGTGCTTAAAATAAATGGCAAATGCGACGAGGTGATGAAAATAGTTATGTCTCATTTGGGAATTGATATACCAAACTATAATAGAGCGAAAGATCCAATTTTTTATCACGCTATCAAATTGGCGACCAGTGAAATGTCGACAACTTCAAATCCTAGCCTCGAAGCGCCGACAACGCTCAAGGATGATGAAACGGAAGGAGATGTGAAAAAGGAAAATATTGTAGACAAAATGGAAAATTATGACGGTAGCAATGATATTGAAGTAATAAAAGAAATGCCAAAAAATAACGGCGGTAATAATCTACCCGTAGATTTGATGGATAAGTATGCAATTTTTCATAACATAAAGAGAATTTTTTATCTACATTATTAATTATTTACTTTTGTTTTAACAGCAATGAGATGGTTAACGAAGAAGCATCTGAAAAAGTTGAACAAGAGTATGAAGCGCAAATAACAATTCAAGAGCCAATAACAGCGTATCCAGCTCCTTTCTTTACTGCTTTGCCATTCATCTCAATGGGTTTGCCTTTTCCTCCTATATATATGTACCCTCTCACGCCAATATTTTATTATCCTTTCATTCAAATGCCCTCAAATGCCATCGCCAAGGAAGACTGCCCGCCTAAACCAAAGCCCGCTTGTACATTCTGCATGGAGTACGAAGGTTCTCTCACCTGTTTGTATTATCAGCATAATTGTGACGTAGATGACAATACGGATATGACGGATTCGTTTCCCAACTCGGAGCCGTCAGATGATAACGAACTACAGAACGGTAATGATAGCGAAATACAAGATGGTAACGATAAGGAAATGGTCACCGATGAGAATGTGCCTACCATTGTTGCCGCTAAAAATCCTGGATGGTTTGGTAAAGGATATCGCAAGGGTATCAAGCGAAAGCGGTAGCATTTGATAATTTATAATTTACTTTGTTGGTTCCTTTATACCCTTAGCGTAGTTATTCTCTTGAAGTTTGCAATGTCGTTACTTACGAATCGCATCAGGGTCAACTTAGAATACGTTCAAGACTTCTAGATTGTACCTATAATCATTTTAAGATGCAGAATCTTCTAATTTAGATTAGAAGTGTAACCGAAACTGAAATTAGAGTGTGTATTCGTATGTTGTTTCGTTAAGGCTAGTGTGCGGTACAATCGTCTTAAAAGTAATTCATCTTTCATAATAAATTCTTTTTTTGCTAGATAGACTCAATTCAATCTATTCAAGAAAATAAAAAATTGATTTTATTGTTTTGAAATAGACAGAAGTAAATTAAACAGAAATGAGAATGATATTTTTGAAGAATATATAAGCAACCTAAATACTCTATTCTAAGTATTGGAATGTAGATAAGGAACATAAAATATCAATGATTCAATGTTAATGGTTTAGCCATTAAAACATGACAAAAGGCGAGAACCTCAGTATTAGTACGAATTTAATCAAAATATTGCATCACAGCAATTTATTAATCAGCTTTCTGCTTAGTAAATTAATTTATTTCAACGTGAGATCTTTACGTCTCAATATGAATAATATCCGGCGTTATATATTCGCCAAGGCTTAACAAGAAACTTATAGCAATATTTCAACTGTGAAATTAAACTTGTAGCCAATCCTACTGAAGATAAACCACAACTTTTCTGTTTTATCTATTTTGTTTCTCTTTGATTTATTCTCAATTTCACTAAAAGGTTTTGGGCAAATAATTCAGTTTGGAATATTAAATTAAATGATTTAAACCGAGGAAAAATTGGACAAACTGATATAGAATTTTTTTTTTTTATAATTAATGTATATTTTTGGACACTTTTTAAATGATAGAGGTAATATAATTTATATTTTCAAAAAAATTTTCTAAGTCATATTGTAAAACCTAGAGGTAGAAATTGTTTTGCTAGAATTTTTTTCAAAGTAGAGGCTATCTCGTAATATATTTGTAAATTAACGAAGCATTATTAGAAGATAAAAAAGAAAACAGTGCTCCCGAGTAGAATTACGCAGCTACGCGTTTCACTGGATCGAGTGAACTAATAAAAGCATAATAACTGATTAATCATTGGGTTGTAATATTCCATAAAATGTGTGACATTTGGAAAATTATTTTTTGTTTTGTAATATAAAATATCAATGTTTTTTGTATAGCTGATTTGGACTAAAAATTCTTTTCATAACGATTACTTAAAACATCCATTTTCATAAGTTTATACATCTGAAGTAAGTGTGAACTTGTAAGCAACATTTTTTATTATGTGTGCGAATTAAATATTTTATAATCAGAATTTGTAAATATGCAAATTTCTTTCTTTTGTATTCTTCCTTAAGGTAACAATCAATCATAATGTCTTGCATATTTTGTTGTTTGTATATATTTTGTGTCAAATAATAAATTTTTATTATTTATACATAACTGTGGTATTATCTATGCTTTTTTCGCGTGATAAATTTAATTTGGCAACGAGGACATAGAAGAAAATGCATAATTTTACGACGCGTCTAAAGTCCAAACTAAATCGGCGAAGCGCGCGCAACGGTAAAGTTCCTCTAGAAAATATTGTTGCCTGCGGCGTATAACGCTGGGCGTGGTGGTTTATTGCCAAGCGATTCGGAGATCTTCTCATTTCATTTTCCGCTCGCCTCGGCCTGCGCTGCAAGAAAGTGCATCCATCAGCGAGATCGCGTCGGTGACGCGCCAAAGATGAACGATGCGCTGCGGAGATTGCCGTCAGTCGGAAGTAAAGCGGGATCAGCTCTCGCGACGAAAAAGGGATATGACTACTTACAGCTTGCGAACAGCCGTGTATGTACATACGTGCATAGGGAGAGAGGCGACAATCGATATCCGAACTGATATGAAAATTACTTCCGCTCCGGCAACGCGGCAACGCGGCAACGCGAACCCCTTTCGTTACGGAACTGTTTTTTAATGCCGAATCAAAGCAGATTACATACGATCGAGCCTCGAGCGGGCCTTGTAAAACCGCGGCTTATTATTCCGTCGTTATTTTTTATAGCTGCGCTATAAACAGCAAATTACTTTGAAAAAACGTCAAGCTATATTTACCTACACATTATCGACCAGACAACGCCGAAAGTGTCGTGAAGCGAAGGTGTGGTCTCCGATGGTCTTTCTTTATGAAATTTCGAGCGTAAAATGCCATCGACTCCCTTCTGTCAAATACCTCGTCCCTGCGTCAAATCGCGTCAACCCTTTCCGAAAACGACCTTCAAACGTGCCTCGTTTCCTTCTCAGTAGAAAAAAAAAATGTTTTCCAATCAAACTCTCGCCTTCGCATCCGCAAACAATGGGACCGCGGCGGTAAACAGAAAGCAGGACAAATTGAATCCCCAGGTGCATCGTGTCGAGCAAAAAAGTGGAAACTGAATTTCGCCAGCGAAGAACCAGAGTGGAATCAATTTGGCGGACTTACGTTAAAGGGTGCATCGCTCTTAGAGAAGTACAAGCTAGTAAAGAGCGACGTATAGGCGGCGTGGGGGGGGGGGGGGGCGGTAGAAAGCTATAGATCTCGAGAGCGGCGGGGGTGGTGCACGGGAAAACTGCAAGTCGCGTCGTTACGCGGCAGCACTCGGCGCTCGGCTGCACGTCGGGGTTGCTCTCTCTCTCTCTTTCTCTCTCGCACTTTCTTTCTCTCTTCTCTCTCTAGCTCTAGCGTGGCGTCAAAAGCGACAGAGACGGCCCTTGGCGAGCCAAGGAATCGACGCGGGTCGCGATGCGCCGGTGGCGGTGCTGGTGCTACGCTGGTCCGCGGCGGGAGCCGACAGCGGAGGCGACGGCGGCGGCGCGGCCCATCGACAGCGACTCGCTGGTGAGTTCTCTTTCTGTCTGTCCGTCTGTTTGTCTGTCTGGCTGGCTGGCTGGCTGGCTGGCTGGCTGGCTGGCTGGCCGGCTGGCTGGCTGGCCGGCTGGCTGGCTGGCTGCGATAAGCGCGCAAGCTCGCGGCGCCCACACCTGCCAGAAAACTACGCGAACCTACGCACGCGTTCGCGTTCGCATGATGCTTGCCCCTCCGTAGACGCCACCGCCGGAGCAACACCATAGACGGCCAGCTCTCGCCGATGGTGGTTGGCGCTCCGTTGCCATGGAGACTCCCCCTTTTCCCTCTGCCTGCCTACGCCGCGCTGTGATATTGCGTCGCGCTTTTCCATTCTCTCGCTCCCTCTCCCTCTCGCTCTTATCTCGCTCGCGACTGCCGCCGCTCGCGCAGTCGAGGCTCCCGACTCTGATCTCCTGGCGATTAGCTGCGGGGCTTGCACCCGACCGAGCGCCGGCTGAAAGCGTCGGATTCCAACTTAATGCTGAATTGTGAGGATCGCGCCCCGTCCGCCACCCCGCGGATCCATGGATATTCGGCGACTCCGTGCGCCTCGCTTTATGGATTAGGCCGAGTCTCGATCGCCCGGCTTTTTCCCGAAGTGCGCGCGCGCACTGCATTTCAATTGGCGTCTTTGCAGCTCGATGAATGATTTGAATGGGGGGTGTGCGCAGCCAGGCCGGGAGAACAGACGACGACAGCTCGCTAGAATGCGGCCGAAATTAGCGCCGCGCACTTGACGGCCTTTCAAACGCGAGAGCCGGGCTCTATGGATCGCCGCGATGCCTTCTCGAGCTCTTTATCCCTCGCGCTTCCCGTCGCGAACGTCTGGCAGTCGGCACGCGCGGTGCGCATTCGTATGATGACGCGCTGGAGAATATAATTTTATAGGAAGGAGTCGCGGTCGAAACCGCAGGAGCTTCGAATGATCGCGGCCCCGCGGAAAGATGACTGTCGGAGCTCGAGTCGCTCTCCGAATGACGCGCCGCGATTTCAGACTAATCGTCCAAGTCGAGATTCGATTCGACGCTCGTGTTTTTTTCAGTACATCTCATTCTTCGCTCTCGGGGAAACGCTTTCGCGCCGGGAGAAGCGAGAGACATAACGGCATCAAAGTATCTTTGATAGAGCGAGAAAGGAAGAATTCGAGATTTTGCAGATTGACGGAGGGTATTCAATTTTCCACAGGGGCTGTAGGGAATGTTGTGTATTGTAAGGCTACATCGGAGTATTGCTTCTCGCTCCGGAGAAATAAGTCGAGTTCTTTTTCGAGAGCGAAGAGGATCTAGGCATCTCTATTTGCGAACCTTTTCATCTCTCTTTCTCAGGTATCAGTTGATACTTTGCTTGGTAAATTGTTTCGATAATTTTTTCCAAGGGCGTGATCCAAAGAGTTCGAGTCCCTTCAAAACTAGCTGCTTATAATTGATAGCTTCGTTGCTCTTTTTTTTTCTTCTTCTTCAAAAAACCGTTCGGCTCATTGTCGGCTACTGCGCGTAAAACAGGCCGCGAGCATTTCGACGGCTTTCGCCGCAGCTTTCAGGATTAAAAATATATCCAGTCGGACGGGTTCTCTCACCGGCGCGATACTTGATTTCTTTTTTGTCTGCCTCGCGTCGGTAGCTAAAACTAATAGCGCGCCATGCATGCGCTAAAAGCATGCGTGTACGCGCTCCGAACGTTCGGTAAACACACGGAATTGTTCACGTGGTTGCCGTGATACGAGGCAAGTGACTCGGCGTTATTCTCGTGCGCACTCGCTTCTTCTTCTTCTTTTTGTTTGTTTTTTCTTTCTTTCTTTCTTTCTTTCTTTCTTCTTTGGCTTTCGGCCTGAAAGAGAAATAGCGCTCTGGAGGCCGCGATGATTCTGTAAAAAATGTGCTCGCGCGCGCTCACTTTCCCAATGAAAAATGAAGGATTCATCGCTGATCATTGCTATTCTTTTTTCGCCGAGTCAGAGAGATTCGCGCCCGAGGTGCGCGCGGGCGAGCCTCTCGTAACTTGCACGCCGACAAGACGCGCCCGTCTCTCTCGCAACCTCGTTTTTCTTCTTTATCGCGCGGAACTCGAGTAGGCGGCTCTCTCTCTCTCTGTAAAAGTAATTGCGAAGAATCCCGATGACTGACTACCTCGCGCGAACCGCACTAGCCGCGTGAAACGCTCGCGCGAGCTGATCGCGAAAAAACACGCTCGTGCGAGCATAAAATTCCATCATCGAGAATCGCCTGTCTCCCACGCGCCAATAATCGTAAAGCCTTCCTCGACCAGAGAATTCTGGCACACTCGAGTATTCGCTACCGCGACCCCCCGCCTCTGCCCCACTCGCAAGATAACTTTTAATAACACGCCGCTCGGGACTGCGCTCCGAAAAAGAGTAATGGTAATTAATTTTCGGCGTGTTCACTCGCGCGAAAAGCCCGTTACCCCGTAATGTTCGCCCGCGTAAAAATTTCAAGGCGAATCCGAGACGGCGAGCGCGCGACAGAGTGAAAAGGAGAGCTTATCGCGTTCGCAAGAGCGACCTCGGTTGTCCGCTGGGCTACAAGGCATTTTAGTCGCTCAGCGCGCTTGTCGCGCCAACGAAGCCTATCAATTCACGTGGCTAATTTCGATTCGCCCTGTAAGCTCGATATGCATTGCACGCGATCGCCAAATCGAAAGGAGTGTGCGCGCGCGCGCAAGTCTGCGTTGTAGGTGTCCGCAAGCTCAAGCGACCCAATGATGAGTATTATGATTGCCGTGTAAAGCTTCATACTCGACATTTCTGTTGGTGCCCATTCTTTCAACCCTATGTATGTACGATTGTTTTGGTGTTGACAAACGTAATGCATATTAAGTTTTCGACTGTTAGTTGGCTGCTCGTACGTTTGGACGATGTAGTTTCGTTAATTACTAAAGAAACCAAAGAAAAATGCATCGTATAATTTGCTTAAATTTTTGTATTGCCTGTGTAGGTCGAAGTAACATCTTAAAATATAAAAATTTCTACATTCAACACTCGACGAAATAGTTGAAAAAATTTGGGAGCTTACACACTACTTCACATACACACGGTTCTCAAACTATCCATTCTTCATATTTATTTAGTCATATTAACCTCGACAATTACTTATTAACGACTGTAACATAATGCTCGCCAAGGTTATAGAAACCCCAGAAGCGACTCGACGATAAATTCGCCTACGCTTAACAACCATCTCTAATTGCGTTATTCATACTTTTATCACACTCATTAGTAAGCTTTGAGGCACCAAGTTCTCCCCCATACGTATATGTAGGATCGGCGTGAAAAACTATCAATTCCAAAAAAAAGCAGCACTTTTCCCTCGCAGACGTGGGCCCTCGCTCGGCTTTCTCAAGTACAGGCGCAGAGGAAAGAATGCCCCCACCCCCCGCGCGGCGGGAAAGGAATCCGCAGGGTGCTCTTTCAAAATTGATGTTAATTAGCCGCTATTGTTCTGCAGCTGGGGGAACGAAACACGAGACTTTATTGAGAGCTGCTCGGTCGCAGAGACAGAGAGCTTTG